CCTCCTTTAAACGTTTCGAAAAATCCACCGACATGAAACAAGTTCTCCATATCTAAGTCTAACCGTCTAAACCACAGAAAGAATAAATCTACCTCACTACACCGTGTTTAACGATATTTTAGACCCGATCACACGACCATAATCCCAGGATATTAAAGTTATTTAGGTATTCCTGATTAAAGACCTAGTTTTCCTAAAGTTTTAAGCAAATCAAAGCAAATTAATTCTGTGCTGACTGTGATCTGAAGTGGAGTAAAAACAGCGTCCTGCTTCCCAGAAATCCGACAGAGCTGCACTTTGAGGTGGTTTTCGATTTTAAAAAAGCACTTTCCCTGATGGGATTTGATATAAATATAGAGCAGCTCCCTTGCTGTTGTGCGAAGTGTGTGAAAGCAGGTGCAGAGAGCCCTGCTGGACCCTGATGCAGAGGTATGCCGCCACTCAGCTCCAAGGCGCTCAGCTCCACGCCGGCCGTGTCGGCCATCCGTCTGGCGGTGCCGGGGTCCAAGGGCTGCGAGGCCGCCGGCTTACACAGCAGCCATTTTGCTGGCCTCTCGGACCCCGCTGAGGTAGGCCCCCGTCACGGTCTGAGGGAAGTGTCGGTTGGTGGCCTGGTGGGAAAAGAAATGACAAATAATGAAAGGTTAAACCTGGTTTAAAACCAGTGGAATCAAACACAGTCACATATTGAGCATTAGCTGGGTTACTGATGCTCAGAGCCTAAACACAGCCAGCTGGACTTCTTCTTCTTGTGAGACTTTTCTCCTCACATCCTGATGCTTCTTGAAGCCTGAATCCTGAAACAGTCAGCGGACTCGGTGAGCTGGTGATCCGTTTCCTGTCCTCACTGAGTTTAAGTGACAATATTCAGCCCGCAGAGTTCATTTTATTTTCTCATTTCTTTTGTCACCAACTGGTTGAGGTAGTTTGGGTTGGGCAGGCAGATGGACTTCTTGGAGCTAAAAGAAATCTCTGTTCTCATCCTGAAACTTCTTAAGGGGAGGGGTCAGTCGAGGGGTCAGAGATCGTCGATTGTCTGAAAGTCAGTTAATCCTGACCAGAGGAAAAAAGCCCAAAGAAGAAGAGAGCTCTACTCCCTGATTGGCCGGAACAGAAAACAGGAATTCAGCCCCTCTGGCCAGCTTGTTGTACACAGCAAAAACACCAAGTTTCTGTTGCCTTTGGGCTTCAGCTTGAATCCAAATCTACTCCATTTAGTAATCATCTTCCTTCTCTGTGTATTACAGGAGCTGTGACATTTTGGAGTAATTCAAACTTTTGCCAGATGTTGCGTTTGATCTGGTTTTAATTTCAGCACCCGATTGGTGCCTGGTTTTAGGATTCTTACTGCTGCCGGTTGAATCTCTGGGTTTGTGCTGGTTCAGGTGTGTGTGAAGCAAAGCGTGAAAACGAGCTGCCAAATGGCGGCGTTGGGCGGCTCAGGAGGAGGCAGGAGAGTTACCTCTCCGGCGAAGAACAGCTTTCCCTGCACGTCCTCGGCCAGCACGTCGTAGGCCTCCCCGCTGCCGCCCGTCTTCACAAAGCTGTAGGACATCTGAGACCACCTGTCTTTGCTCCAGTGGGTCACAAAGTAGTTCACAGGGTCTGGGACGTCCTGTGGGAGGAAGAGGACCTTTAATCCACAAGCGGAGGGGAAATCCCATCCAAAATGAGGCGAGACAGGTTTATGTTACAGTTTGAGTTTTGTGTCCACGACAACTCAAAGTACCTTACATTTTAAAAGCAGACAATGAAGATAAAGAAAACAAATAAAAATAAGTTTAACCAAATAAAATAAATAGATTAAAGGCTAAAAAAAATTCAGCTGTAGTAACCCTGTTTCACCTCTTCAAGAAGACCGATTCAGATTTGAGGAGCATCAAACTGAAATGAAGCCTCTCCTGGTTTGGTTCTGACCTCTAAGAAATCAGGTGTGTTTTAAGCTGCATAGTTAATGGTTCTGATGCTGATAAATATGAGAGAAGTGGCCCAAAGAGCCGATGATCACAGGGAGGGCTGAGGGTGATCCCTCCACAGGGATGAATGGAGATACAAGCAGAGGTCGGGGCTGTGGGGCCAGGAAAGGGTTAATAACCCTTTAGTTTTCTACCCTTCCATCATCCATCGCTTATCTGTGGTCGGGTTGGGGGGCAGCATCTTAAGCAGGGAGATGGTTCAACTGGGGAATGATACACTTGAGTTTAGATGTCTTAACTGAGTTTATGCAGCGTCCAATCAGATCTCCAACATGATAATAATGAGTCTGCATACCCCTCAGCATGTAGCTAGTTGCTCCCCCGGTAGTCTCAGCTGACCCTTGACCCTCTATGCTGTGGCCGACCGGACCCCTGACCGGTGCTCACCTGCTCGGGGAAAAGCTCCCTCAGGACCTTCAGGCACTCTCCCACCACCTCCTGGTCCTCCAGCTCGCAGACAGCAGGAACGGCGTCGCCAGAGATGACCGACATCAACACCGCCTGCTTCCCCTGTTGGACACAGTTACATCAGCCAGGGCCTCAAAGGGTCTGAGCTTGGTTTCAGGGATCGGATACCCAGAACCTCACAGGACTGGGTCCTTCATTCTCCTCCCAGTCTAAACACACACATCTGGAGCAGATACTCAGACTCCCATGATGCCTCAGTGACCCTGAGGGGGAGGAGCCGACCCTCTGATCCAGAACCAGTCGGCTCCTCCTTGGTCATGGCTTTAAAAACACACCTGAGGGTCCAGGTCGTAGAAGACGCTGAACAGGCCTCGCTTTTCCGGTGCCGGCGGGATGTGACCAAAGTAGTCGGCTCCCTGGATCTTGGAGTCCCAGAACCGGGTCGGGAACTGCAGAGCGATCTGCGGGACGTTCGGACTGAGGTTTAGCTGCTGGGCACCGACAGCCTCTGGAGGCAGGCTGGCGGGGATGGGAGGTACCTTTTCGATGATGCCGGCTCCCAAGCTGTGGATGGCCTTCAGCTTCCTCTCAGGAAGGGGGGGGTGGAAGTGGAGGAGGCCCCTCTGGAGCAGGGTCAGCGGGACGGTGACCAGAACCTGGAAGAGAAAGCAGCCCGATGAGGACTGGATCCATGAACAGAACCTGCCCTGAATCAAACGTATTTCTGTCCCCCATATCATCCTGTCCTGGTTTTGGTTCTGATTAACTTTTTCCCTAGTTCTGATGGAGGTTTCTTCTGGTTCTGATGGAGGTTTGTTCCTGGTTCTGGTCCTGATGGAGATCTCTTCCTGGTTCTGCTGGTGTCCTTGGTTATGAACGAGCTGGACCCATTTGGAATACCTGGATCCTGACGGCTTAACTGAACCGGATCTGAGGTGAAATCTTTTGTCATCTGCTGCTTTAGAGATCAACCTGAACCCAGAGCCTTTGGTCCTGTAACCCAGTGGGCCGGTTTCAGAGCCTCTACCTTCTGGGCCGTCCACTGCGACCCGTTTGATGAGGTCACTTTCACGAGGTCCCCCGAGTAATCCATCGTCTTGACCTGTCCTTTCCTAGAAGACAAAGTTTAGTGAGGAAGAAATCTGTGGACCAGCTGAGCCATCGACAGCTGTACATAAAAACCATCAGTTCAACCACAACGATGTCATCAAACTATGCTCCTGAAATGGACACATTTCCTTTTCCCTCCTCATTTGGATCCTGTCAGGTTCTAAATTTGAGGGAACCTAAAGAGACAACAGGATCATGTGACAGAAGACACTGTCTGGTTTATTTATGGAACAAAAACTTAGAGCAGACCCAAAGCAGCCAGTTTAGAAACTGGTTTCTGGTGGTCTCTCAGTCTCTGCGATGGCTGTGGAGGACTTTTGTCCCTCTCTGCTGCCTGTAGCTATTCAGCTCATGGAGGTTCCTGCACGGCTCTGCTGCCGGGTTTGGATCTCAGTCCTGTTGGGGGGCTGGCTCCAGCTTCAGCTGTGGGACAGACGGCCTCCCGTCTGACTCTGAACACTTTGGGTTCCTGGGGGGTTCCTGGTGGACTTTAAGGTCCTGGTGCTGCAGAACCTGCTCGGATCATCTGCGATTGATGAGCTAGGGGTGACCTTGTTGGACAAACTGGCAGCCATCCTGAATGTCTTCACCTGTGAATAAACTCTCTCTCTAAGGGGTGGTGGAATCCAGATGACTCTTAGGTTATGGCTGATGTCTTTCCTCCTTGACATTGTGTAAACACACTCCTGCTCCAGACTCCTGAATTTTGCTAAATAATTAACTGAACGAGAGGCGTTTTTGCTTTCTTGGTTTATATCGAACTCGTTTAGTTTGAGGACGGGATTCGTTTTCATCGTTCCCGCGCAAGTAAAACCCCAGAAATCAAAAGATGGTGGAGCCCCACTTTCACGTTTTTCTAGAGACGGCCAAAGTAAACTTTATTATAGTGTAATACCGCGTTAGAAGGTAAGGCAGCTGCTAGCTTTATGTTTTAAGCATGCGTCCTCAGCTAAAGACAAACAGGAGAATTGTGTAGCTACCCGCAGATTCATGAGCCACGTTATCCCCGCCGCCGTCCATTCCGTCTCATTTAGAGAGAACCGCTCCGCGTCCACAGCTGCTTCCAGACACTTCTTCGTCCTCGTCTCGTAAGGTCTTCTTAGTTTGCAGCCCGTTGGTATTTTTTATTCCTTAAAGAGCGACCGTCCAGCGTTAAAACCAGTCCCTCCGGTTTATTAGGGGGGTGGGGAGGACCCACAGCATGTTTACCCTCAGCGTCCGGACTGCAAATGAAGCGCGCATGCGCCGGGATTGACGGCCGAAATGATCACGCGGTGCCGCTCCGCCCCTGCAGCACATCACGTCACGTGGCAGATTATGCAAATTAGGCGATGACGTCATTTGGCGACTTCTACCGACTTTTAGCAGAGCCAATAGCTACTTTCCTTACTGAGGAGTTGGCAACACTGCGCCGCACAACACGGCGCAGTTTCCCCATCGGCGTGATGGTGGGCTGAACACAACTCTACTTGGACACCAAAAACGGGTGTGTTTCAACAAAAAGATATGTCCGAAAAGCACCGAGCGCTGCCGACGTGGATGCAAAAGAAAACCAAAGACAAAGCGCCTCTGAAGAGTCAGAGAAAACGGAAATCCGCAAGGTAGTAAGATGGAGAAACGGGTTGATTTAAGTTTCCTTCCAGTCTTTCACTCGCAAACGCACACTGATATGTCCCCTTAGGGTTGCTTTCTACTGCATGAACGAGGCCGAGCTGGTGGAAGCAGCCGTTTCCTGTCTTACCCACCACGGCCGCGAGGATGCGGTGCTCCCGGTTCACCAGCAGGGGGTGCTGTTTCTCCCCTTTAAATGAACACGTTTCTGCCATAGTGTACACAAACATCACACTAAACGTTTGAAAATTAGCTCAAGTGTGTTCTGAGTCATCGTTTGTGTTTATTCTATTTTTAACATCAATTTTGAATAATGAAATGAGGGGAAATGCCTTCAGTTGCTTTGTCAGAAATATGACTGACGCTTCCCTACCCTCCCTACCCACAGGCTGCAGAGGAAAAAGCAAAGCACACCACGGTGAAGAAAGAGGAACCCGGCAGATCAAAAATAACAGCAGAGCCCGAGAATTTAGAGGAAGGCGATGACCTGGAGACCACATACGTCTCCGAAACAGACTCGGACATCACAGAGATGGAGACGTTGCCATATACAGAGCGTCCTGGGTGTGAGGCGGGGGGACCAGGGGCGGCTCGGGACGAATGCGGACTCAAGGACACTGATGTGGACACTGAAAGGAAAAAGGGGCAGCTGCATACGTCAGGAGGAGTTTCGACTGAGGAGGATGATCCCCTCCGGCTCGTACGGGAAATTTTCTTCAGCTGATGATAAAGTCACCAGAACCAAAGAGAGTCATAGTGACTGAGAGCTTTGCTTGAGACAGCAGGCCTCTCTTGGGGTTGCATTATACAAAGCTGCCACACTGAATTTAAAACTGTTACAGGTCACTACCACAGAGGTCTGGAGGTGGAAATGTTTCCCCCTGACGACTTGAATGAGTTCACTTTGTGTTTAGAGGAACCAAAACAAATTTATTGCAAGGGTCAAATAAAAACCTCACAAGTTTTTAGAAATAAATTCTTTATGTCCATTGAAAATTCTATTGATCGCTTTCCTGAAAAATAATGTCCCAAAACTTATGTCACGTCCACATTTTGTTTTTTACAAAGCTCTTTGTCTAGAAATAAAACAATGCTAACAAAAGGTAATACAGTACCTTACAGTTGATCTAACAGAACTATGGCAAACAGAAAGCACTGATAATTACCCGTCTCCCTGTCTATGTTGAAGCAGCTACAATCAGAACCCATTTACTCCCAGTCACATGGAAGCCTCTTCCTAAGCCTGCTGGTCAGCGCCGTTCCGGTCAACAGCTCCACTTGCACCGCTACACATACATAGAACCAAGGGGTCATACCTTTCCAGCTCAAATATGACTGATGCAAGAGTAAAAAAACAATAATGCCTGTTAGCATGAGCAAACCTGATGTCCCCTGAAAGGCCTGGCTGAGCCTGAGGACGGTTCTGTCTTTGGCATGGGCAGCTAACAGCACGGCCAGCAGGGCGAAGGCCACAAGAACCAGCGGGACATACAAACACAGGATAACCAGCGTGCTGAAGATGGTCATTTTGTCACTGGGAGAGCCCCCCGGCCACCCATCACACGGTAAGGTGCCTTGTTGGTTTATGTGACAAAGGGAAAATGGGCTGATGAGGACTTGGTCGGAAAGGACAAACACGCCAGCAAAGAGCACCAACGCGGTTATCATCTGAAGGAAGACGAGCAGGAGAAGCACGGGGATCCAGAAGAGGCGCCGTGTGGGGCGGCTCGGCGAGGAAGCGGCCGGCATGGAAACTCCTCAGAACTATGATCCCGGATCTGTAGACTTAAGAGCCATTTGGACAAATATTACAGAGGCAGAGTTTCATATGGGCTAGAGCACACACGAAAAAGACCGTCCTCTCCTTGAAATAATTTGTGTGCATTATTCATGATTTCAAAACAGTTTAGATCTGAAAGTGTGTCACGGGTCTAAAGTTAAACCAAGATCAGCTGATCAGCAAATTTACTTCCTTAAATCAAACTCTGTCTAACATTGCCCCTAATGGCACAAATATGTGACAAACTTCGAATCTGATTTGAAAGGCTAAGCCTGGAGATCTCCAAACAGCTTATTGGATGACAGAGGGGGGAAAAAACTATTAAAAAAATACAGAAGAAATCAAATAGCGACCAAATGTTATATGCAAACTCATAAAATTGAACAGGCCCTGGATGGTGAAGGCTCTACACACCATAGACAAGCAGAAGATATTTAATATGTGAGGCTGTTTGAAGTTAAACCTTAATCTATTGATGACAACAGCACAGAAAAACATATTACTGATGGCTTGCATAATTTATTCATTTTTTCCCCTATCTTTTCTGTTGTCTACTTACGTAAATAATGAGAGAAAAGGCGTCGGGATGGCTCTGTTCAGGAAGCTGTGGCCCTGCGGGCTGGCGCGCGCACGGGGCGAGCACGCGCCCGGCGCGGAGCAGCCCCGCTGGCGCGCGCTCACAGCCACTTAAACTCCTCCAAGTTGAGAGCGCGAGACCATCCTCAGCTTTGTCCGGTTAAACTACAACGCGGGGAGGTTTTAAAGGTCAGTCAACAAACCCTCACTCTTACATCATTCCGTTTGCAGGTTAGAACGAAGCCTCTTTGCACTTTGGATAGATTTAACAGGTCTTTTTCAGCTCGACAGGGAGGCGGGGTCGGTGGAGAGGATTTCTTTGTTCGTTTTGCTTTCCCTAGCAATTATTGACTAATAGCGTGGGGATATTGCTTATTTTAATACTTATATTATACGCGCATATAGTCATTTCGTCAATAAAAAGTCTGTTAAACGAGGGCACGCGGGCGGGGCTGGATCAAGGTGTGGTTCTTAGAATAATTAAATGTCTTCATTTTTTCTAATATTCCCTTCAAGCAGTCTGTTTGTGACACTTTGTGAAACGTTTTTTTAAATTAAATATAGAAATAAAAAACTGTAATACTGCACTGTAAAAGTAAGCAAAGCTGCATCAGTCAAACAAGTGCTGTAAATTATCTTTCAGGGGAAAAAAAATCCCTCCCCACCCACTCGACCCCCAGACCATGCAGCATATTTTGAAGCCTTGGAGTAGGGAAGGGAGGACACCATGCACCACTGAGTGTTCCTGCTCACCCGCTTAATTAAACCCTGATGACAGAGAGTCCGTCCCCATTTACATATTTTAAGTCTGTTTGTGAATTCAAATGGAAAATCCATAAAAATGCAAAGCGGCCGACAGTTTAAATAGGAGTCAAAAGTGGAAAGTGCTTTTAGAAGCATTACTAATGTAGTTGCCCGAGAGGTAATTTCACTGCATTTTTTTGTACACAGGTACACCATGGGAAACAGATTCAGCAGAAGGAGAGATCCTCCAGCCAGTGGTTCTGAAGCTGTGGCCACTGAGCAGAAGCCGGAGGTGGAGCCCGCCGCTGTTAAACCGGTGTCGCAGAACCAGGTCTCTGAGCCAGACAATGCCGAGGTGCTGGCAGAGAAGCCGGCGGCCGCCGCTGCATGTCCACCCAAAGAAGAAAGTCAGACGGAGTCCAAAGAGGAAGAGACCCCTGCCCCTTCAGGCCAAATCCAAGAACCAGAGCCCACGCCAAAGGAGCCTCCAGCTCCGGTACAACCCGAACTCCTCCTATCTGCCGGCAACCCTCCAGAACCAGTCGATGTGGCTCCACTTGCTCCGGAACCGGCCCCAGAGCCTGTCCGTCAACCTGATTCCACCTCATATCCGGGGGCGGATCCTGACCCTGTCCCAGAAGCTGAGGTTCTGGAGCAGCATGGAGACCTGCTCGAACGAGAAAGCCTCCCCGAGCCAGAGCCGCCGTCACCTCCTCTGATCGAACTGAGCGCCCCAGAGGCCCCTCCCTCCCCCGACCCCGTCCCTGACCCGGTCAGTTCAGACCAACCGCCACACGCCTCGGCAGGTGAGCGCTTCGAGGTGTCTGAGGGCTCCACTCTGGGCCAAGAAGAGTCCACAGAAACGTTAGAGTTTCTGGAAGACCAAAGCGAGGCGGTGGCCGCAGAGGGCTGTGAGAGGTTTGGGAGCGACGTCAACGAGGGAAGCGTTAGCGAAATCCTGACAAATTCTGAGCTGGAAGGAAATTACCTTCTCAATGACCTCATTCCAAGTGATGTCAAGGTCCCCGATGACTCTCCCATCATGGACGTGAGCACGTCCATCGAGCTCATGTGAATCCACTGAAGAGGATTACTGACAGATATTTTCCCTGTGACACCTTCCTGACCATTTCACGTGAATTTCTGAATGGATGAAATAAACATTTTTTATGGCACCCTAAGTGCCTTCCTTAAGGCAGATGTCCAGTTCTCCTTTCTTTAATGACCCAAATATGAGCTGCGCATCAGGCTGAACTGATTCTTAAATACCAATGCTTTCCTGCTCATGGTACATCTATGCTGCCAGTTTGTGTACATGATCCGTATATAATCAGACAACAGAGATCTCTCTCTATGCAAACATTTGAACATGTCTCGGGTCAAGTATTAAACAAAGAGTTACTGCTACTATACACCAGCTCTGTATGAAAATCTGTATAAACCAAAAAAGTAAAAACTCTCTGATTACAAAACTGAGACGCATTCTGATTAATAAAAGACGACAAACCAGGAACCATAGATACACATTCCGCTACACAACATAAAAGAAAAGCACTTTAACATTCAGCAGTTTGGACTTTACAGTAATAATCTAAAAGTGGGGACTGTATCTTAACTCAAACAGTGGCTTGCTGGCAGAAATAGAAACATATAGATTACTGATCTGTTTTTCACCATGGAGCATATACTCGTATTGGACACCGTGTACACATGGCAATCAAGTTATAGCCGGCTCAGCACAGCTCATGTAAGAGAGACAGTGCTTTTTCACAGTCTCGAGGGAGAGAAGACGCAAGGAGAGGGAGTAGAAGAGGGGGGGAGACCGGGCTGCATTCTTTCCAGAGGAAAGAGGTTTTTGGGGGGCCTGGGTCAAAAGTCTTGTGTGTGACTGCATTTCAGTCCATGAGAAATCTGCTCCTCGGATGCCTCTCCCACCACATTCCCTCCAAGCACAGTTCCAACATCTTGACCCAGCACTCAAACAAACAGGAATGAAAGCCGCTTCCAAATGAAAAGCAACCCCAATTTGCCACTTTTAAAGGACTACACACCCACATAAATACTATCGCAGTAAGAACATAATAATGAATATGAAAAAAACAAACCTACTGTAAAGTCCTAGTTTTAATCCCAAAAGAACATGCGTTATCCAGACACACCTAACAGCTTCTGCCTGGGGGCACGGAAAATGGGTAAATCCCATGGTTTTGGCAACGCGCTGTTGAATCCCCATAGAGTGGGAGAGGCATGTTTTAGACAGTGATCTCATTCCAGCTGAGCTTTAGCAAAGGATACAGTTTGTAGACTGAGCTGCTTCTTGATGCACACACAGAATAGATAAGCAGCATGATTTGCACTATTTGTGATTCCTGCCATACCAGAGGCTTTGGGCTCAATAAACAAAAGTGCAGGAGTCGAGTCCCCTCTCCCCTTGTTGATTTCCTGTTTCTCTCTGCACTGTGATGGCCAAGGCATGAAAACAGAGACAACAGGACTTGGTATTTGCTTCCGTGAGAGCATGTGTCAAGGAGCTCAAACGGTTTTAAGGGTCTGGGGAGAGCCACAAAGAAGTCTGAATATTTTGACTCAACTTCTGAGGAGGTTATCTCTTTTAAAACAAACAAAAAAATCCTTGTGTTGAATAAGCCTACAGAGTTCAAAAGCTGGGAACTCTTTCGTTGATGTGCAGGGGCCTATCAAGCAAATAGGTCTTGAAGGTTGGTAGTTTAAGTCCCATAAATGCATATCTTCCTCGCTAAATTGCGTATGTTTCCAATTTACTGTTGGATCGCAATTTTGGAATAACGGACACACACAAATAAATTCTCAGTCCACAGCTGAATTAGAAATCTTTATCAAACTGGGAACAATACTGTACACCGAACAGAGAAGATTCTGGCTCAAAACTTCAGAAAATGCTAAAAGTAAATAGAGTATATGCTGCTTTTCTACTTTTTAAAACAAGAAATCTGTTTTGAGGAGAACAAAATAAAACAGTTATCGCAGACAACTGAATTTCATCGTGTAATTGGCCATGCCCACAGATCAGGACAAAAATCATGCATACCAGACATCTGAAGCATTGGATTTCTGGAAAATTGAATATTAGAGAAAAGAGCTTAAGGAACTTTTTTTTCTCAAAAGATCTAATTTTAGGGCTATCACATTACCATTAGTCTCCTGTATTTCTTGGCCAGGTCAACATTGGTGCGTCCAGGTTGGAAGGGATATGACCACAAGATAGAGTTCCAGGAGAAGCCGTACTTCTTCACCCCAGACAGCAAGTATCGCACCTCCTCTTTGCTAAAGTCCTGCCTCTTCTTTTTCTTTAAGTATTTAGAGGTAGAGCATAGGAGAGGAAATTTCAATAAAAGATTACACTGTATGTCAGTTAGAGAGTGAGAGTTACAGGGAAACAAAATCACAACCACATGTGCACACCTAAGAAAAAAATCCAAACTAAACCAAAAGAAAATAAGCCAAACATCTTATCAAGATGGCTATGGTAAATATTAACTCACCAAAGTGATGGTTGTGGAGCTTATTTACTTTAGTGCATTTTTGTATGTTATTATAACTTGTAGGGACTGAAAAACTCAACTCATAAATATCAAGCTCTTCACTTTCATCAAATTCTTACATCAGAAGAGTGGTCTGCGCTCATCTTTGGCTGCTCCCTGACAGCATGCTGTAAACGGTTCTCCGTCTCTCTTCTCTCTGTTTAAGTCATGAAACCTTGTCAGTGTGGTTGTTGTTACAAGTCTGATTTATTTTTCAACAGCTCGCATCATCCGGCCACATGACAGAGAGCAGAAAAAAAATGCTGCCAAAAACAAAGAAACATACCGGCAAATATTTGCAGAAAGAAGGTGCAAAATAAAAAAGATTGAAAAATATTATGGAGAGAGCGAGCCCTGACAAAATGGTGGACCGTGTTGAAAATGTGGACTGAGCAGTGGGGGAAAAACTTGAGAGAGACTCTTACAAAGCATGCATTGGAAAAACCATTTGGCCCGGTGGTAAAAAGAAACAATAAATCTGAGTGAGACAGAGACACAGTAAGACTACACTATATAAAAATGCCTCTGCATTGCAACACCACAGCTACTTTTTTTGGCAACAGAGAGTCTGACTTTTGAGATGTGAAGGAAAATGACTTTGTACAATTCACAAAACTGTGAATAAGCATTTACATTGCAGAAAAAGAAGATTCACTTCCCTTTAGTCACTGGCCAATACAAAACATCAGAACAAATCATTTCGATATCTCTCTCTCTGTCACACACACATGCACACGCACACTGTGTTACACGGAGTGTGAAACAGCTTAATACAGCTGTGGTGCTTCCAATCGGCTCTGGTCTGTGCTGTGAGAACACTGGCTGCAGCTCAACATTCTTTCTGCTCTTTGCTTTGTCTGCTGCCAAGAACCCAGCAGAGGACAGCTCCCAGCACAGGCTCTCAGTCATAACATTCACACACACACAAACACACACATACACACAAAGTGATTTACTGTATGTACCCGAATCTGACGTCGGATGGCCACCTCCAGGTAAAAGTCGCCTTTTTAGGGGAGTCAAGCCTGGACCAAAGAGCAGTGGTAGAATCAGTGTTGCTGAAGATGGTAAATCTAAACACAGTGTGATCAGGCATCATACCAATCCTGTTGTGAGAGGTCACAGTCCCTTTCTCTGCACCTCTGCGCAGGGGAGTCAAAGAAATGCCTATGAAGATGATAGATATATCAGATGGACATTGTAACGGGGGGGGTCATCTCTTAAACTGTAGAAACCATTTAAAGCTAGAGACAAACTGCCTTCTGCACCTCTGCCTAACCATTTTTCCAAAGTCAGTCCTCGGCTGTCCTGCAGGTTTTAGAAGTTTCCCTGCTTCACCTCGTTGTGCTATTACCAGGCTTGTGCAGGGCTTTTAAATAGATCTTTTCATCAGAATGTGGTGTGTTGAAGCAAGGAAACTTCTAAAACCTGCGCAGCATTGGCCCTCCAGGATCAGAATTGGACATCACTGCTTTAGAACCTTAATAAAGATGAACATTGATAAATGGCTAAAGAAAATCTAGTGGATAACAGATTATTATCTGTTTCTATGAATTTAACAACTAAGACAGATGGAGCTCATGCTATTGGTGCAGTCATTTAACTTGTGGGAGTGGATTTATTTAAAACACTTTGCGTCTTATAGAGCAGCATGGACAGATTTACTGCAAACCAACCACCCTGTGAGTTACCTTCCAACCCAAAGTAATGAGTGGGCACTGTGGTTCAAAATATGTGAGTGTTTTAAGATCTGTGGTCTCATAGTATGGAGCTTTTTTAATACACTGGAAGGTTAATTCCTTCTCACCATTGTACTTTCTCCATGAAGCTTGTTGCAGGTAGCTCTTCTCGTTCCCAGCTGTTACATATCAAACATTTTACAGCAGCAGTTAGGGCATGATGTTTGTTCCTTTTTCAGGTACTTCAAGTTATAGTTCAAGTTAAATAGACAAACAGTTCATACAATTTAATAAAACAGTCAGTCAGTAGGAGTTGAAGTATTACTTCAGTGCACACACAAGGTAAAGTGCTTTTCTCTAACTTCTGCCACAGAAAATTTGAATCATAAAGCTTCTTACCATTCCAGGTTTCACATCTTCTGTTTGACCCTGTAGGTGAAACTCTCTGAGTGTTTACTTTTGCAGACAGAGCAGCATCATGGTGCTCACTCAAAGGCACCATGTTGAAGCGGCGTTTCCTGAATAGCTCCGTGGCTTCTTGGAGAGCTCTGTGCATGTCACAGCTGTTGTGGCAGGAGCTTTTGAGAGACTCGAAATTGCGACTGGTCACTTCGTTAAAAGGTAACACACATCCTAACAGAGAAGAAGGGGAGTAGTACAAAGACTTAAGTCTATCCGAACCTATCTACAGTCATGTATCTCAATGACCCGTTCAAGTCTAAAGGTTCAATTAAAGGTCTAGTGCATTTTGATTCTAGTGTAATCCAAATAAAGCCTCCATGGGTCACCAGGGCAAGAAGACGCAAAAGGTAGCTGCCCCCCTTTACAGAGAAAATTTCCAGAGGCAATAAAAAGAGGAAATTCTTCTTATTCTAAAAAAAAATCAGTTTGATATGCTTGACTTGTTTGCTCAGTAAACAAATATTTGGTAAAACAAGATGAAAAATAGAAGAACACTCTACTCAGAGGGATCTTCAAATCCCAACCTGCACACCGGATATGAGAGCCAGAGCGTTCCCCCAGTGGAATTCTATCCACCACCTTTTTCTGGAGGTCCTGTAAATCTAAACAGAGGAAGAAAATACTGCTAGGCCAAGCTTTGCTGGAAATGATCTGGAAACAAACACTGAATTAATTTTATGCTAATTGTGTAATGCTGATTCTCTTACCATCAGGGAAGTCAGCCTCTTTCAGTTTGGTCTGCCACACTGGTAATGGACGTTTGAATGATTTTCTAAAAAAAGAAAGAAAAGATAATGTATTTATAGGGCATGTTTTCAACCGAAAGGAACTAATAGCTGGTCAGCTCCCTGACCTGTTCACAGAATGTGACTCGATGCCTCTCTCTGGTGACTGTTTGTGAGAAGACATCTGGACTCCTCCTCCCTTGCACATTGCACAGCTCTCATCTCTGTTGGATTTCATTTTCTCTCTCAGAAAACCTAAACTGTCCTGAAATTTCTTCATTTCACTTTCAATCTCTTTGTCAGTGGTGTTTGTGGCTGTTTGAGGTCTGATGCCACTTCCACTTTCCTGTTGTGTGCTCTTCAGTCTGTGGATGTCTTTTATGCTTTCCTTCTGCTGTGCTAGCACAGGTAAAGCAGAGAACTGAGATGGCAGGTCCAGATCTTCCATTAGATTTGATGGGTCTTCCTGCTTATCTTCAACCTCCTAATGAGAGTAGGCACATATTATAAATCAACAATAGGCTCACTGCTCAGGCTGCTCTCTATATGTGTGTGAATGCACATTTAACCTTCAGCTGTCTGTCCTCTAACAAAGCAATCCTGTGGAGCAATTCCCTGGCTGAACTCTTGAAGTCCTCAATGTTTGGAAAGGGTTCCTCGTTTTCAGCCTGTTTTAATCCAGGTACTCCAAAACACATCATTTAAAAGGTCAAAAAGGTCATCCTAGCCATGGCCTAAAATGTAAGCGCTGCACACCAATTAAAAAAAAATTGTCTTCATTCTCACAAAAGATCTACATTAAATGGTATGTGCCTGGAAAGCAAATACAGGTAGTGCAAACATCATAGTTTTTAACATAATGCTTTCTAAGGCACAGGTAACTTTTTGATAAGGAAAATAAGGGCTGTTTTTTTAAGCCAAAAGAACTCACCGCTTTTTCTTCAAGTAAAATTAGAGAGTATAAAAAACTGACTAAATTGGTCACGTATATCATATCATAAAAAAGGGGGGAAAAGGGCCACCACCAAATGTCAAAGATCTGTAATGTGTCACAGGTTGTATTGACCTTTTTTTAAAAATTAATTTAAGATTAAATAGTTTGTTGATCGTGATCTGCGATCTTATGGGTTAAGTTGAAGGATTTATTAAAATATTCAAAAGAAAACTACATTCTGGGAAATAAAAACTAATGGTTCCATGATAACAGAGAACAATCAACGCTAAATGACAGATTTTCTCTACTAGACTAATTGGTTTTACTTACTGGCCTTTTTGCAAGTATCCAATATAAAAGTAGCAGCCTTCCTAACCTCCTCACTCTTGTCCTCTGTGAGGAAAGTTATCGTAGGTGGGAGGCCTCCACACTCCACCAGCTGTGACTGGTGCTCTGCTACAGAGAAGCAACAAATAATGTGTTTTGTTGTGTTAGGAGAAAAGTTACTCTTGTCCACAACACTTTCAGGGGTCCACATGGGACCTCTAGTAAGGGTGAGAAATATGATTTGGAAGACTCAGAAAAATCTCTAAAACAAACATGCTACAAAGTGAAGACTCACCAGAGGCCTGAGTGCACTGTCCAATTGTCAGCAAGACAGAAAGTCTGTCATCAGGGTCCAGGTAGGAGCTTGTCAGCAGGGAGAAAAGGTGGGACACCAAACCATACTGAGCCAGACCTGCAGCCACAGAAGCTACAGGGAAGATAAAGTTAATAGAGAAGGACACCCTTTCGGCTGTCCATGGATGTGCATGTCTGAGAGCAGTACACACAGTTATCGGTGATGCATGCCGACAGGGTCTTGGACATGATGACAGACAGCTGACAAGCCAGTGAGCTTCTATCTGCAGCAGAGGCTTGACTGACCAGCGCAAGGGTAAGTGTTTCCAAACCCCCAGAGGCAGAAAAACTCTCCTGTACACACGCTGCAAAAAACAGGAGTTGGGTGATAGTAAAACATTTAAAGTCTGTTATACATTCATTTTTTAACTTTACATGAAAATATAAACAAGAACCATTCTGCCATTTTCACTTACAATTATTTGCAACTGTCATTGCAATAAAGGAGCATATGGGTTGAAAGATTTCAGCGCAGGGCACTGAAATCTGCTGAAGCCAGATTTTCATCATGGGAAAGGCTGCCACACAAATACGCTGAGCCTCTTCTGCAATAGAAAAGAAATGCCTGACTAATAAACAAATAATGCAATGTACAGTAGATGATCCAGATGTTAAAAGCTACGGAGTGCCACATTAGATTGCCCAACCATGGTCTTAAATGAGAATGAGAATAACTCTTTTATTGTCCAAATAAGCACTGGTGCTCATTTGGTGCAACAACATGCCATGGGTAAAAGAGACCAACAAAAACATTGCTTACAAACTAAACTTTTCCCTGTTTTAAGGATATTATCATTTAGTTCTATATTTCTAAGAGGTTGGTGAGTTATATTGCAGTCTGCAATATCTGCTTCAATTCAACACTTGAGAGAAATACTCCAAACATATTACCATTCTGAGGATTGTTGACACACCCACACAGGGCACTAGACAGAGATGCCCATAGTTGGAAGGTTTGAGATGAAATTCTTAAATTACCGCCTGTGGACAGGGGGAAAGTGGTCCTGAAAAAAGAAGATAATGTTGTGTTTAAAAAAAAAAACTTAGTATTTACTAAAACTGTAAAAATGTTTGGTGGTTAAACATACAAAAATACCTGAAGAGCTCCAGCACAATGTCCAGGCAGCCAGTAGCTTGAGCTAAAGTCTGTCCTGACTCTGAAATGTCCCACAAACAGTTATGAATATGTGCCTGACAAAAAATAATGATCTCAGATGGCAAATGTGGTATCTGAGAGGAATGGCTTTGGAGAGGTTTCATGAGCTTTAAACTAATCCAGACAAAAGGATGTAACATACAGTGTTCGAGAACATGTGCACCTGAATGAAACCCGATAGTGAAATTGTAGTATATTCTGCAAGTTATAAAGCTTGGATCTTACTGTTGTTGGCTACCAGGACAAACAGCATATATACAGACACCCTCTTCTGAGTAAGTGGGACGTCTTCTTTGACCAGCAAGCTAGCAATGTCTGCAAAAATCTCCTTTCTGCACAGAGAATTCTTGCAATACACTAACAGAAAAGAGATCCAATAGATGTTATCAGTATGTATAGCTGTAAATTACTTTCCAATTATTATAAGTGATGGCAACATGATATTAATAGAAAAGTATAAATTCTTATCAAAGTATACACAAATGCATGCATATGCATAAGCTTAATCTAATCTTACCTCATGAGTACACAAATATGTATAATATTTAATCATTTGCCTTCATGAAGATATAAAAATATAATTGTTACATACACTTTGTGTAACTTTAACAGTAATCTGAAAATGTTCAGTCAAAACGATCAATATCTTTGTTACTTGTTAAGATAAAGTGCATCTAAAATTAAAAAGCACATGGCAGAAAATCTTTTAACATCAACCTTCAAAGGCTGAAACTTACCATTGGCTTCTGCAAGAGTGCCAAGTGTAAAGAGAGCAACCTCCTTTACATCTGAATGAACAATGGTGGATTTGGACAGGTTGTATACAAATGCTACACCACCCAGCTCTCTCAGCAGGTCCACGTTATCCTCTGAAAGGATGAAAACTTAAGGTGAAACAGACAGTGGATTGAAACCATTTCTGAGTGCTATATTGAATCGAAAATTAATTAGTTGCTACGGTCTCTTAGAAACCGTAAATCCACAATGTCTTTCTCACCTCTCTTTTCACAGATTGAATGAATAGTGAGAAGAGCTTGTTTTTGCAAATCGGGACATTTCATCTGAAACTTCAGGCACTCAAGCAGTAAACTAAGATCCGTTTTCGTGGCTTAAAGAAAAAAAGAAAAATGACTTCCCAGAGGCATGTAAAGTGCGTTTAGCAATTAAAAATAAGCAGGTACCCCATATACAAGGTAATCGGACTCAGGGTAACTCAGTAACAATCATGATGTCACTTACTATTACGGTTGTTGCTGGAAACACCAATCGTATCCATTATCTAGTTTGAAACGTATCAGTATTTACAACAATCGATTGTAGCTAAATAAAAAAGACATATAGTCAATATCTGTTATCTTAAAACATTCTTGTGAAAGTTGACTGGATTAGCTAAAGCTAGCTTGAGAACAAAGAGCTGTACTAATGAATAATAGTAGGCTTATTTAAATACCGGTTATCAAATTCACACTATTAAAGCATATTTCCCCTTACGGTGAGCTACTAACTAATCACTTGAAATACTCCTAAAACGCAATTGTAATAAAGTTTTTAACTATCAGCGTCAGCCCCCCTATTTCTTATTGTTGGCAGGAACAGAAATTGATTTAATTAACGACAGAACTTTGGTAACTCTGCGTTACCAAGGAAACCAGCGCTCCTATGGGCGCCATTGTCCTCAAATGTCTTAACACCTTTTTGGGGATTTATGAAAACTCTTTGTGGTTTGTTGAAACAAAAAAAGGGCAATTTCACTGTATTTATTGTGTCCTGAATAAAAACTGCTAAAAAAAGCAACAAAACACCCCTTTTCTAACGCGAAACAGAGTCTTTTACTTTTCTGCCTCTCTTCCTCCCGACGTGAATACGTCAGACGTTGGTTCTGTACGTCGCTGTCACGTTTGTTTGGGCTTGACGTGTTGTCAGTGACAGTCGGTTTATCCGAGAAAAAAGTTGACGCTTTTTCCCGCTGAGTTGTTTCTTTTCGGTCCACTCGTGCAGCGTGTAACGTCGACGTACCTGTGGGGAGATGGAAGTGCAGTTTCTGCGGTGACATAGTTACCTAACGGCAGCGGAGACGGCCAAAGCTAGCTAGCGGCCGTCCTGTAACGACTCCCAACATGAGCCAGGCTCGCTTAGTGACGTGTTGCGTCGATGAAATATTGTAAGATAAGGGACGCTTTGAACTGGTTTTATTGGTGTTTCGAAGCTCGCTAACCAGTGCAGCGCCTGACTAGCTTCCTGTTAACATTAGCTCGTCGCTCACCGAGAAATGTGAGGTGGAATCGCCTTAGAGCCCTTTCGTCAGGCGGTAACGGGAACAAGCTGTTCGGCACGTTCTAACCTCATAGTAGCTATGTATGGACGCGTGTACGCCAGCACCCTTCAGAGAGCATCAAGCTACATGCTGACATGTTCTTCCACAGTCCCATTTCAGGTTTGTTTCCTTTGTTTTTTATGTACATAACCCCCCCCCCCCATTTAGGATACCCACTTTTTAGCTTTTCCAACTTGCAGACAGCTCACCGATGCCGGCTGTCATCCCGGGGTTCCAGCTCACCAGAGCGCAATGGCTGCTCTGCTGTGGACTCTCTAAGAGGCTCTCTGAGTGTCCGACAGTTTACAACACACCAGGATCTGGACTTCCAGCAGAGCAGAATGCAGATCAACAGTACTCTGAGAAGCAACGAGCAGGTAGTGGCCACCACAGAGCCTCTGTTTTAGTGTCATACATAAGCAAAGTTTGTCCCTCTGGTAGATGCAACAGATAGTTTCTGTGGTCTGTTTCCATGCATTGCTTTGCAGTTATGGGCTGACCATGTTTTCTGTCAATTTCAGACCGTGGATGTACCAGAGTTTGATGGCAGAGTACTTAGCGCTGTGAGAAAGTTTGACACCAACCAGTTAGCTGCTAACACACCTAATGAGGACCGTCGCAGTGCAGCCACATGTTTACAAGTAAGCAGCTATTACCCTCTCTCTCTCTCTTTGCAGATTCTCCCCCACTATGGCATTTAAATCCCTTAATTTTTTTTTTACCCTGCAGTCAAAGGGAATGCTCTTTGGAGTGTTTGATGGCCACGGCGGCTGGGCCTGTGCCCAAGCTGTGAGTGAGCGACTGCTCTACTACATAGCTGTTGCAATGATGCCAAAGCACAGCTTGGAGGAGCTTGAAAAGTGCATGGAGCAAGGCAGACCTGTGCCTCCAATACTACAGTGGTATAAGCATCACACAGATCGGAATTATCGGGACTCCGCCTCCCTCTACATCGACCACCTTAGAGTGTTCTGGCAAGAGCTGCTGGACAGTGAGGATCATGATGTGGGCATGAGGCGAGTAGAAGTGCACGATTCTCTTTTAAAATGGTCGTTTGTTTTCGCTGTTTTTTTAAAAAGTGCATTGCTATTCCGTACATAACCATGAGCCAATAGTTTGAATGTCAGTTTCCCTCAATATTTAAATTTTCTGTCTGGTTTAAATTTCTTTATCTTATTTGTATAGCATGAGTAAACACAAGCAAAGTGTGTCACTGACTTTTGACCTTAACTATTCTGCAACACAGCAAAAACATACACATAGAACAGCAGAAAAATAAAGTCAATCTGTTTTGTTTTTTTCAAGTCCTTGGGATGCTTTAGATTGTGCTTTCAAACGGCTTGATGCTGACATCTCCTTAGAGGCTCAAGTCCCTCTTTCCAATGACCTGATGAGAAGCACAGCCGTGCAGGTAACAGGACGCCCGCCGCCTCAGTGAGTCCAGACCCACCCCGTCCTGACCGCATGCCCTCTGTCCAGGTGGCGTTTGCGGGGTGCACGGCCTGCGTGGCCCATGTGGGCACCGACGGGATCCACGTCGCCAACACCGGCGACTGCCGTGCAGTTTTAGGGGTGCAGAGGGAGGACGGCTCATGGGAAGCGTTGCCTCTTTCTCTGGACCACAACACGCAGAACCAGGCTGAGATCGACAGAATCATAGCCCAGCATCCGCCTTCAGAGAGGGATACTGTGCTCACAGACGACAGACTGCTGGGGGTGAGTTTTTGTTTCTCTTGCTCGGTAAAAACGCTGACTCTGCCAAACGAGCCCAGGTTTGAAAGCTTCTCGTACCGTCAGGTTCTGATGCCCCTACGCGCCTTCGGTGACGTGCGGTTCAAATGGAGCCTCGAGCTGCAGCAGAGCATTTTAGCCAGCCTGGAATCTGGAGTGGACCTCGACTCGCTCAACTTGTACCAGTATACTCCGCCCAACTACCTAACACCGCCCTACCTGGAGGTGACACCAGAGATAACCTATCACAAGCTGAGACCTCAGGACCGCTTCCTGATCCTAGGCTCTGACGGGCTGTGGGACGAGCTGAGCAGCGAGGAGGCGGTGCGACTCGTAGGAGAGCACCTGAGCGGCATTCACTTACAGGTAAGACTAAAGAAATATGTCAACCTCTTGATAGACGTTATACAAATTCTAATTAAAGCATCTTGTCTCCTGCTTGTTTTTGTTTTTTTCCCAGGCTCCAGTTTCTGCCTCTGAGAGGCAGCTGAAGCTGGGTCAGATGCACGAGCTCCTGCTGGAACGGCGAGCCCGGGCCTCGCCGGCGCTGGACACCAACGCCGCCACACACCTCATCAGGCACGCACTGGGCACGGGGGAGTACGGCGAGCTGTCCCAGGAGAGACTGGCCTCAATGCTGGCTTTACCGGAGGATCTGGCTCGTATGTACAGAGACGATATCACGGCCACCGTGGTGCTTCTGAACTCCGACCTGGCCAGGTCACGCCACCGTTAACCCAGCATTTGGTCCCCAGCCAGAGGCATACCTACATCCAGCAGATTCAGTTTACCAACATTTATTGTTGTGGTGTTTTTGTAAAAACATGCAACCTGTTACATGAACTAATTGATGGAGATTTAAGAAAGAAGACAGTGTTCAATGTGGTATCATGTTCATGTAACATTTAGCATAGATCAGTGATGGATGCAGTTAGCAGAGGTTGTATTTTGATCATTTAAGGTCAAAACGAAGGTCTTTGTGGAAAAAATGGTGTGAGTGAAGGGAATGCACTTTCTGTGTCTGTTGCTACCGCTCTCTGTTTGTCTTCCCAGCTCAGACTGTCCATTTGTGCCTTTTCTCCTTTTGACACAGATGTGAACTACAGATATTACCGTTGAAATTTTATCCAGATCCTTTTGTTAATTTATTTGTCTTTAAATGGTTCTTAATCATCAGTGTCCTCACTGGAAAATGTAAAGTGTTATGTTTTGTATATTAAAAAAAAGGAAATCACTTTTATGTATTTATTTATTTGAATTGAATTGAATTGAATTTAAAGTCCACTAAAAGGGCATGCAGTATTCAGCCGACGTCAGAACGTGGGAACCGAGAGTGGAGAGGTGAGTTTTTTAAGCTGCCAATGCGTTAGCTGAGTGTTGTGTGTACCCATATGATGCTCATGTGTTTGGTACACACATGCCGTCATCAGCAAAGAAAGCTGGGCTCAGTTGGCCTTATTACAATGCAGATAAAATTAGTGTTCACAAAAGGTGGATCAAATGAGTGAACCTCCAAAATCATTCGGAGGTTCACTCATTTGAACCACCTTTTTCTATATTTCCCTCATTTAAAACGGACACGTCTTAAGTGCATTTTTTTTGTCTGATGGCAGTTAATATCCACGCCTGCATAAACACACCTGCATGTTTGGTGTTTGGCGCAAGCATTTTGCTGATAAAATCAAACAGAAGCCACAGGCAGCAGCAGCAGCCGCACGGGACTGAAATGGAAATACGGTTAAGAGTATTTCAACCTGGTGGTTCTCTACAAGAAAAGCACATCAGCTCTAGTTCAGACCGCCGTGGTCGTACCTGTAGATCTTCTAAACTGATGGACTTAAGGGGAAACGGCAGGATTCTGTCAGGGATCTTTTTGTTCTGCCAGTTTCAGGTGGGTGTTTGACAGGCACTTCTATTTTTTTACAGTTACATGTCACTGTAGTCATATCTTCTTCCTTCTTTTTTCTCCAGGCATAGGTTTTAACAACTCTGTTACATATTAATGATTGTGTATTTATTGTGTTTTAGAATGAGTGATTCTGAGAACTCAGTCTTAAATTATCAGAACAGGTTTCCTTCCAGGGTTATTTTTTCTTTTCAAAGGAACTGAAGCTGTCCTAAAACAATTCAGATTTGAAAAGGGAGGGCAGTTTGTCAAAGGATTAGTTTCTGTGGGTGAAGGTGTCAGGACATTATCGGGTCTTCTTTAAGGCATTTATTGAGATCTGAGTGGGAGAACACTTTAATTGCTGTAAAGAAGCATCGTCCTGTGTGGGAGTTCTAAAATAATATTTCTTTACACTGGTGTCAAGTTCCCTGAGAGCATCAGGTAGAAAAATGTGTTCATTGCTCACCTAAATTTTAATTCGATGATGACCGAAATGCTCAAAGCTTTCCAACAGGAGGCTTCATCTTTGCTCAACTTGAGATATTCAAATTAAAATTTGCTGCTAATTTTTACAACTTTATTATTATATGTAGAAATATAGTAAACCCTTTGTTATAAATCAATGCACTGAACTATGGGTGTGTGTGTTCCTCAGTGTTTGGTAGCTGTAACATCTGCGGGGACACAACCAAGATGTCTGGACAACATACAAAACTGCACACTTCAGAGCAATCTTGAGGTACAAAAACAAAGCTCAGCTTGTTGTCGTCCGGTAGTTTTTGAAGAGATCGGTTCCGACCCAGCATTTTGCTCAGATTTACACCTAACATCTCGGACCTTCTTCTCCAGGTGATTCCAGTCATTGAGTTTCCACTAATGCGTGGTGGTCTGCAACGGATGAAGAGGGAGTGGGTCATTCCACCTATTAATTATCCAGAAAATGACAAGGGTCCATTCCCTAAAAATGTGGTGAAGGTAACTGCTGTCCTTTTTTAGCAGTTCACATGTCCATGAGTGCACTCTCACTGATCCAGGTCTCGACTGCCATTTAGCTGAAGTCCAACAACCATGAAAAGGTGGCAGTAACCTACAAAATCACTGGGCCGGGAGCAGATCAGCCCCCAGAGGGCATTTTCACAGTTGACCAGCGGTCTGGTGTGATGTATGTCATGCAGGCACTGGACAGGGAGAAAACGGCAAAGTACACTGTGAGCTAAGGCAAAGTTATATCAAATTTTTGTACCGTTACAGCCAATAATGGTTCATTGTTGATTTTTTTTCTGTGTCTCGCAACTTTGCTGTAAGTTAATTTTTGGGGAAATCTGTATATCCTCTGCTTTCAGCTCTGGGCCCACGCCTTCAGCAATGGAGCCAAGTTAGAGGAACCCATGGAGCTCCTCATCAACATCATTGACCAGAATGACAACGCTCCAGAGTTTACGCAGCATACTTTCACTGGCAGAGTGAGCGAAAGTGCGGATGTTGGTGAGAAATCCATTCATCGGGCTTCTTGAAATGGTCGTGTGAAGTTGTCCAAGTCGACTGGGTCTTTTCTTCTTTGACAGGCGATGACATCGTAAGGGTAACAGCGGTGGATAAGGATGATCCAGAGACAGACAATGGCATAATCAGCTATAAAATACAATCTCAGGCACCTCAAAAACCCTCAGACAACATGTTCACCATAAACCCAGTGAGTGGAATGATCCGACTGAATGCAGATGGACTGGACAGAGAGGTAATCTGAATATAAGAATGATAAATAAAGCCTTTCCAAGAGTGTTTAAAAAAAATATATACTTCTTCATTGAAACTTATTCATCTTTTGTAAGACTCACCCAGAATACAAGCTGATTGTTGAGGCTGTTGATATGGAGGGGAGAGGGCTGATGACCACCTGCACTGTTACCATCATCATTACTGACAGCAATGACAACGCCCCCCGGTTCACTTTCACATCTGTGAGTTGCAGAAGCACTTTACAATAAAACAAATATTTCAAGTTCTGCTATATCAGTGGGTATGGTCTTACATTTCTCAGATCACTGCATCAGTCCCTGAGAATGAGGTTGGACTGGAGGTAGTAAGACTACAAGTCACTGACCTGGATGAGTTAGGATCACCCAACGCAAATAGCAAATACTCAATAATCAAAGGTAACGAGAGGGGAGACTTCAACATTACCACAGGCCCAAATAAAATGGAGGGAATTATTACCACTGCCAAGGTTTGGATTTATCTGTACGTTTTTTTAAAAAGTGGTTTCACTCATGTCACGTGATGCGTCCCTTTTCTCTCCTCAACCTCCAAGGCGTTGGACTTTGAAAGCACCTCTGTCTTCACTCTGCTGGTGGCGGCAGCAAACGAGGCACCGTTTTCTGGACCGGTGTCCACTTCCACAGCCACGGTCACCGTGAGAGTCGTGGACAAGAACGAGCCTCCTGTTTTCAGTCCAGCTGTGATGCACGTGGCCGTTGGAGAGGGTGCGAAAAGCAACACCTCTGTGGTGAATGTCAGAGCGGAGGACCCTGACGCAGCCAGGAAACAGAGCGTTAGGTGACAAACACCCCCCTTTATACATTTAAATATATGGTGGTGAAAGACAGTGAAAGACCAATAATGGAGATGGTTTTTCAGCTTTATTCAACAGAACCAAACGTCCCGTCAATGTGGCTGAACTATATTTAAACTAATGATTGTTTCAAGTTGTCCATGTAACAATATCAACACTTAGTGTTGATAGACTTGTGATAATCTTTAGGATTTTTACATTTTTTGTTTGAAAATTGCCATCAGTTTCATAACTCCAAAACATCAAACCGAGCAGCTGCAAGTCGGCTGCATGGTTCCAAACCTTAAAAAATGCTCAAAACAAAAATCCAAGAGACAACTTCAGCTTAGAATTTATTGCAAAAAGTTCAGAATCTACAAATGACAGTTTGAATAAAGGAAATAAACTAAATCTTAGATATTTCTAAAATGGATTTATTTGCGGATTATTCATAAAATGACTATGAACAGCTTTATGACTTGGAGTTTGGATTCTGCTTATGTGCACAAAAAACAAATTCAGGTTTTTTATTTATTTGACGTATGCTGTTCTGAGGAAGCTCTCATCAAGTTGATTCTGATCTTTCTTTCAGAGATAAAGTTTTCAATGACACTGCCAGGTGGCTGAGCATCGACACCAACTCAGGATCAGTCCGGCTTGGAAACAGCATGGACAGGGAATCAAAATATGTTAAAAACAGCAAATACACAGTTCTAATCTTGGCTTATGATGATGGTGAAGTTATTCTCTGATACTATTTATCCTGCTGCCAATTTTATTGAAGTATACTCGATTATAATTTCTTGAACCCAATCCTCTCTCTCGCTACAGATGATACTCCAGCCACAGGCACTGGTACTCTGGTTGTGACTGTGTTGGATATAAATGACAATCCTCCCGTTATTAAGCAGAGGAAAGTCACTGTGTGCAACAGAGAGCCTGTACCTGTCCCCCTGGACATAGAGGACCTGGATGGACCCGGTCATGCGGGTCCTTTCACTGTGGACCTCATAGGGGAACACAAGACGAACTGGACCATTAGAACTAACAGTTCTGGTAAGGACATACCTAAGTAACGTTGTGAATTTGAATAACATGTAGGAAAATATTGAGGTGCTCATGGTTCTAAGCCCACCCGCTTCATTTCCAGATGATGTGACTCTTCTGGCCCCTAGACGAGACCTCTCCCCAGGAGACTATAACGTACTGATGCGCCTCTACGATAACGGCATGCTGGCCCAGGACAGCACTCTACATGTCGAGGTGTGCCAGTGTCGAGGGAGTGTTGCCGCCTGCTTCGTCTCGCGTTCTGCCCCCCAACTAGGCATGCCTTCCCTGGCAACCCCAGTTCTGGCAACCGTATTCACCATTCTGTGTACGTGAGCACTCTGTCCCGACGACCAGTCCACCTGCGCTTTTGTCCGGCCACTCATTTTTCATTTGAACGCAGTGCTGCTCCTGCTCGTTCTGCTGCTGCTGAGACGAAGACAGAAGAAGGGTTGGGGCATGACTGACCCTCTCCTCGAAGATTTACCAAGGGATAACATTTTCTGCTACAACGAAGAGGGAGGAGGTGAAGAGGACCAGGTGGGTGGAGGAGGAATCAGTAGTTGATTGTTGCTCTGATGGAATTTAAATGAATGTCTTTAGCCTCTCCAGGCAGTTTAGTTTCCGTTGGAAATCGTTTTTTAACCGGCCTTATAGTAAGAGTGTGATCAGCCCAGGATGGTCTCACCTCCACAACTGATTGAGTTCATGTCAGAGAATTGGAGTTCAATGTGAAGTCAACTATGAGTTGAAATTAGAGGTCCTTGCACCTAAAAGTATGACCAGTGTATAAAAAAGCATTTGCTCATTTCATTCCACATATCTGAGCTTAAGGTTACAGTAAGTATTGGGATTCTCCTTCTTTTCTGAAGGACTACAACCTGGCTCAGCTCCACAGAGGGCTTGATAACCGTCCTGTGGTTCTCAGCGCTGACGTGCGTCCTGCTGTCCAGAGCCGCCCGCAGTACCGCCTGCAGATCCAACCAGACGAGGAGATCGGCAGATTCATTGAGGATGTGAGTGATGCTAACACGTGTCCCTGTAGATCCTCAGTGTTTTTCACCTGATGTTCTTTTTCACCGGTCAGAACCTCCACGCTGCAGACGGTGACCCCACCGCTCCGCCCTTTGATTCCCTCCTGGTGTTCGACCACGAGGGTGGAGGCTCTGAGGTGGATTCCCTCAGCTCCATCAACTCCTCCGACTCAGACGGGGAGCAGGACTTTGAGGGCCTGGGTCAGTGGGGGCCGCGCTTCGGCAGACTGGCAGACCTGTACAGGGGGGGCGGAGAGGACGACGACGACCTGGAAACTCTGCCGGGAAAAACCGAATGGGTCTGACGTCACCTCCTGTATCTATAGAAGCTCAAGTTTGTGTCAATCTGCCCAGAACTCTGCTGTGTGACCTCTTTCTGCTGCCTTCTGTGTGATGTCTGAGCTCTGAACACAAATTGGTTTAAGCTTTATCTTTATGTTCTCTATTTTCATCTTTTGTGTTTAGTCATTTTGCTAGAATTTTTTCAAACAAAAACTCAGAACCTGAATAAAATTTGATGGTGTTTCTCAGTTGACAGAGTCTGTATTTGTGAGGACGTTTTTTAACACTCCTAAACTGATTCATTTCACTGTGCGCAGAGCATGCAAAGCTTTGCAGAGTTTCTGGACCTTGTGGTTACACATGATTCTCAGCGACAGCTACGAGGAGGTCATCTCAAAGGCTTGTCCATTCTTCATGAACTTTATGACTACTGACGATTTTTCATCGTCAGCAGAGCTGCTCATGGGGATGTTGATGCTTTTAAAGATGGACCACATGAAGAGACGTTGATGAGAGAAGTTGTTGTTGACATCCGAGAAATATTTTCTGAGTAGAAAATAATTGACAGGGAGTTAAAATGAAGTAGCATATCAGTATTTACCCCCATGAGCTAACCTTTGGAGCCTTCATGTATTGTTAAATATTCTGCTTAGATGTATGAATGTATTCCCAATTGGATTCTTATCAGGCATACTATGTCAATGGATGTAATCCTCTCCATTACCAAGAGACAGATGGAAGTGCCCAAGAACTACAATCACTTCCCCAATGCGATTTTCTCCTTTTATAATTTCTTTTTGATTATTTGAAAGAATACTGTATATCTAAGATGTCGAGAATAACTTATGCTTTCATCTGAAACTTGTTTATTTTGTTATCAGCTTTAGTTTATAACTGAGTTATTCCTGTTGTATGAAACTAAGGGATAAAATCTGAACTAGAATGAGATTTGTAATATCTGTGAAAAGACTGAATATATTCTGTATTAGTCACCGTCTTCTGAGGTCTCAATAACTCCTCCCTGCAAAGTTGATAAGGGCTTCACTCATGGCCAATGATCTCCCTGAATCTTAAGGGTGAACTTTAACCGCTCGCTATCGTCCAACTCATGTGAACTTTGACCCCATGGATCAACAGTTAAACTCTACTCTGACAAATTGTCGCTGCTGATTGAAAAGCTTTTCAATGATTCTCCTTCCTCGTCTCAGTTATTTTAGATTTGATACGACGGCCTGTGGATAAATGAGTTTTACTACATCTTTGTAAGGTAAGAACCGACCATCTGAAATGATTTACAAAATCTATGTGTCAACATTGGTTCCATTCTCTCTTTGAAACGAATGGGGTTTCTCTTTCACAACAGATGACTCAGAACATGTTTCAGGAGGGACTGTATCAAGTGTTTTTTAAAGAGACACCCACTCCCCGCCCCCCTGCCCAGGTTCCCAATAATGTAGAGCTAAACAACGCCAGGATCCATCGCTGGTTCGGGACTGTTGTTAACTCAAGGCTTTTAGTCACAGGGGTGAGACCCAGCTTTCTGTTTAGCATCCTGGCTAGTGTGGATTCTTTCATTTCCTTTACCTTCTCCTGTGTTTTCCTCCAGGTGGTTCAAGTCCTGAGTGCCTTTTCTTGCATCCTCCTCACAGTCAGCCATGCCTGCATGAAGTACGACTGCTCTGTCTCCATGATAACTCCAGTGTGGTCAAGTTTATTTGTGAGTCAGCACCTTCTTGAACCGATATAACATCTACTTTATATTTTTTATTTTAGAGAAAAGGTGAAATGTCAAAATGAGTCCAAACTGTTTTACAGTACATTGCTGCTGGGTGTCTGGTAATGGAAGTTCAGAGGAAGGCGAGCAAAATAAAGGTAGCCAGTGAATGAAAGCACACTAAAGTTAATGTATTTTCATCATTCAGTTTTCTCCTTTAACTTTTTGTCCACAACCAACAGATCATTGCTGTGATGGGTCTGAACATCTTCAGTCTATTCTTTGGGCTTTCCGCCCTGCTGACAAACAGTCTAGTGTCTGCCACACCTTCAGAAGTGATAACGTACCATCAGGTAGTTCTGTGACCTCGGAATCCTTTATTTGAAACATCTGTTTGGTATATGTGACTGCTTGTCCAGATGACGGAGCACTATCACTTCCTCTCCTTCTTGCCTTTCTCTGGACAGAGGGCTGGTTCTTATGTTGCAAATGTGAGCTCCATAGTTTTCAGCGCACTGTGCTTTCTGGGATCGTTGTACATCCTCTTCTTGTCCTGGAGAGGCCTGCGTCGCTACAGTCCTCCTCACATGCAAACCTACTGTCGCGTCGCACAGGTACTAATACTGATAAGGGATTTTTTGGATGGACATTTAGCCCCAGTGCTTTACACGTAGAATAAGGAAGACCAAAGTGCAACTTTGTACAACAGACTTCTCTCTTATGGAGTTTGAGTGAATCGTCTCGTAGTTTGCTCCCCGGGCAACATTGAAACATTAGAGAAAGAGTTGAAATGTCAAAAGAAGTGTTTTGCTTCTCTTTTCTCAACCTACGACACCTGTGTGATGTTCCTGTGTGTAAAACGAAAGTCTTTTTGCTTTTAAATCTGTGTAATTTCCTTGACAGGATCCAGATGAAATGAACGGACCTCTGCTTGAAGAGGAGGAGATAAATGTGGTTTGTCCCGTGTGAACATTATTTTTATACTGAGTTACTGTGGACACACCCGTGTACAGTCACAGGAGTGACTGTGCAACCCCAGTCAGCAGACTGTGGACTCCAGGGAAGATTTTCTAAAACAGAAAAAATCTGGTCATTTGGCTTGGGGAAGCCAAATATTAAGTCTTAATCCACAGAAAAACATCAGTTTCAACCAAATAACTGAGAGCACAGAATACCGTAACAATTTACAGTAGAAAGCTCCAATTTGTGACTTAAGTTTACATTTTAATGACTGTTTTTTTTTTTAGAAGATGTGATAGTCTATGTTTCACATTTAGAATCTGAATTTCTATTTTGCTTCTTGTGGACACAAATTTGTTTTTAGAGATTTTTTCCTGAGCTTGCTCTGTGACGGACACTAGAGGGCAGCATTGGCAGAAGTTCCTCATGAGGTGTTCCACTGGTGGACTGGTCTACTAACATAGTGTATAACTGTAGGTGTTTATACTATATATCACACTATATTTAAACTGAATAAAAGCTATCATTCACAGCTGTATTGTAACAGGAACAGCATGTAAATAAAAATTCAGAAAGTGAGTCTTCTAAGAGGATGCATCAGTAGTTTTGTAGACTTCTTAAACTCACTTCATCATAACATCTGAAATTAAAATATATCTATTCTTTAAAAACGTTGTGTGGATGTTGTTTTGGCTCCCAGGAGCTGGCTGAAGGGCGTTTTTTTTAGGTGTATCAGTATTAAATGTTCAACATAAAGCAAGGCCATGCACCTCTTTTTAAAAAGCACTCAAACCTTCCCCGACATTCATAAACAGACTTGTATGAGTAAAAAAAAAAAAAAAGAAAAAGAAGAAAGAGACAGAATTCAGCTACTTTCTCACGGCATGTCTGACTAACAGCTTCCAGCTGTTGCCTGGTTGGGAGAGCTGCTATGGGAGCCCACCGAGTACAAAGAGAAGCATGGGATTAGTTTAGAAATGGACACAGAACTACAGTTAAAAGTGAAGCCGGGTGACGAGGCCGAGTGTCCTCACAGAAACTCCTTTGAGTTCCTGTGATGAAAACCACATATGAAGCACTGCTGCTGTGTAACTTTGTAAGCAGCGTATTCGTGCTCACAGTCGGAGGGTGCATGCTAAGCTGTGTACACAATCCATATGGACAGTTGTCATAATATCCTGCCTGCACTCACACAGTGGAAGAGTTTTAGCAGGCAGCTGTGTGACATAAAAATGAGTAAAGAGAAGCTGGTGAACCTCGCAATCTGTTGTGCTTCGTCACCTCTTTTATGTCTCGATTGTACCTTCCTTTGACTCAGAAGGAAATCCCCTCAGAGGGACGTGACTGAAGGCTGGACGTGATGACAAGAGGGTGAGTGTGTCCAGAGAACAGGAAGTTGTGATGACTTGAGGGGTTGCACTTTGATAGGTCTTTGACCCTTTATCTGGATTTACAGAGGGAATAGTTCCTCAGCCACTAGAGGAGTGAGTTAAAGGAGAAAAAAAGGACAAAGACTTCGTTTTGAGAACATTCATCAATAATTTATTGTCTTACTATCAAGAACCACCACGGCTTCTCATCTTGAAAATTCATCATCAATTTCCAACAACACAGTTTTGCAAAATGTAAAGTTACTATACAAATTCTTAATAGAAAAAAAGAATAAATTAACCGTGGAATTCAGTTTTTTTTTATCAATTCCACGTTGTTTTCTACAACACTTTTAATGTCTTGTTACAGTTGAACAGAACTGATAAAATCGAGTTACATGCTCTATTGTTCGGTTGAGGGATTGATCTACTATTAAACCATCTGTTAAAATAAGCTTAATTTTGCACATCTGTTTTTGAAACTATTGGTCAGAATGAAGAGATGTCTAGATCCTACATGACAAAGCAGTAACTGGTCATTTTGTAGCACCTGAAAGGGTTGTTACGATGTCAGAAGATAAGAACAAAACAAAACAAAAAAAAATTCAGCTTCATATAAAATGGAACTTTTAAATCAGTGAATGTGAATGTTACGACCCCCCGAAACCAAACAGCTCCCATCTGTTCTCACCGAACAAGACTGATAAAAAAAATCACTAACTCCTTTCTCGAGGAGTGTTACAAAAAAACCTCACACATTTTTCATGGAGCAGGGAAAGTGTGTTGAATGGAACTATGAGGAAAGGGATGTCGCACTTCTTCACAATGAGCTCAGAGATTATAACAGGTTTTTTTTTTTTTTGGGAGGAAAAACAAACTAATATGAGCAAGAGCGAGCTTGGGGCTGTCTTTGGGGTAATTCGTCAGTGGTTCTGGTGGGCATGCATGGGACTGTGTCTTCAACACGCACAGAGAGGGCAAAGAGTTTTTTAGAGAAGATGAAACCTTAATACACTAAAGTGATGAGTTCCTATTTGGTGGCGACCAGTGATTTGCAGGTTCCAGTCTTGCATAAGGACGAAATTAATCTGACCGGGCATGGTTCGACGACTTTCAGAGAACTGACCCCGCAGGCTGGGACTGGGCAATGCGTCTTACTGAAATAACGCAAAAATGAATTACAGCTGATGTTGTCAGTGTGAATGAAAAGACAAACCGATGAATCACTGGCTGAGCATTCCTCCCACAGCAAACAGCAGTAAACCATTTAAACCGGTGTGAAGGTGCTAAAAGAGTCCCTACACTCTGTAATTGTGATTTTGAATCGGACACCGTATCGATAGGATTAACATACAAACAATTACAATTTTGTGCAAAAATGAGAAATGCTAGGCATTTTATTTTGCACCTTTCTTTGATTTTTCAGAGACAACTGGTGGAAACTGGTTTCAAAGGCAGCAAAAAGAAAAAAAACAGCTTCTCATAAAAAAGCTGCTGTGCTTTTCTAACCCTGTTTTGCAGATCTAATTGTTGATTTGTACGTATGAGAAAATTATTCCCTTTGAGTTGACACAGTTTAAGAATGTTCTCTGCTAAGGTTATAGCTTTTTTCTGCCCTGGCATTAGGGCCTTCAATATCACAACGGTGTCCTTTTATGTCTACAAGAGCACACTGACTGCACGTCCAATCCTCAAAGACCCTTCTTTTTGTGCTTTTAGACAGGTTCAATTAACTCATGTAGTGTATGCTGAGTATGGCTGCACTCTTACAGACTGGCTTTGGACAGTGGGGATTAAAACAGTTTTTCTGACTGAAAGACGCTCAGCACTAAATTACAGTACAAATATAAAGCACCAACATGTTTAGAACGAACAAAGTTCATTCACATTACTCCTGCAACTCTAAAGACAGGTTGATAGATGAGAAAACATGGTGCTATGAAGAGACTGAGAGATGAGGAGCAGTTTGAAGGCTGTAGACTGAAGGAGAAAAGTCCAGCCTTGCAGTAAGATAACTCACTCTAGATGTTTGTCACTGTGGATCCTCAACAGTAACCTACAACTTTTACCATCAGAAGCCAATATGTATCCCTAACTGTCAGCAGACTAACCTAGAAAACTGTGAAAACCCGGATTCAAAATGTATATTCTCAATGTTTCAGTCAAACTAAACTGTTGCAGAGCCCATGATCTGATGTGGGCACGAAAACATCTTCACCCTCACTCCACATGTTGTGCCTGTACATCACCATGTGGCCAAACCAACCGCTGAGGACAGATATGAAAGAGGCCGTATGAAAGAGGAAGGTGCAGAAGAATATTTCCAAATCCAAAGCCGACAACTCTGAATCCTGCTTGTGGCACACTGAAAAGACCCCTCACTGCAAGCATCACCAGACAGGGGATGTGACCATGTTAGAACCAGTTCATAGACTCATTCAGTGTTTGTTATTGCTATAGTCCACAGGTGTAATGTCCCAGAATGCATTTTGATAGCGCTGCTGTAAATTGGCTCTCATACCGCTGACTGACTGTGATGTGATCAGTTAGTTCAGCAGCTCTCCTTGGCGATGAATTGTAATCAAGAGGTTTGGAATGTGTGATCTTCTCTTGGTATAAATGTACATGGAAAACTTAAGAAAAAAAATAGCATGTATGGGGAAAATGCCAACCCAATTCAGTTCATTTATGCCTTAAATGGGTTTTGAAGTGGTGGCTCAAATCCAGCAGGTTTCCTCTGACTGGGTGGCAGTGCACTGGAGTGATATAAGATGCAATATGAAACAGATCCTGGATTTATCGATGTTACTTCTGCTGAGTATAACTTGTCTGATTCTCTTCTGTGCTCTGTCTTCCTCTTCCTCTTGCTCGTGTCCTCTTTCCCCATAGCTTGTGTGCTCCAGACGGGTAACATAGAAAGGGCTCTGAGATACTGTAGGGAAACAGTTCGACAGCTGCGGCTGCATTTCTCAGTCTGTCCTGTGAAATAAGCCCTTTTCAGAGGCCAGCGAGTGCTTCCCTGTCCAGCTGAGCTGTGACGGACAGGATGAAACCAAGCGGGAGGAGGGAGGCTCGTGTCCAGTCCATTTGGAGCAGGAGTTCTTTTGTCAGGCTTTGAGGATGAGGTTGTCAGTTGTTGATGGGTAGTAGTGGGGGAAAGTGACGAGGCAGTAGGAGAGGGCAAAGGGACTTTTCTGTGCCCAATAGGAAGGTCTCAGACCAGTGTCCCCGGTTTGGCCTTGTCTTGTCCGTACCACTGTGCATCTGCCAGCTCTGAATACAGGGGGCTGCTGAGGAAACAGCTGTCACCGAAAGACCTGAGGAAGAAGACAGGCCAGAATCACAGACTGCAGATTCCTACATTTTATGTTGTAAAATATCCAACTGCTGCAGAACTTGCTTGGTTCATTTTATTTGTAAATCCTAAAAACAAAGGTACCACAGGAAAGCAACCGTAAAGCAGCAGAGCACATGCAAAGATCGAGTACAGATACAGCCAAAGAAAGGCCAATGAAGTGAGAAGTAAACCCTCCCCACTGTCAGCCCCCCATGGATGATGATCCTCAGAGTGAGATGTGAGCATTCATGTATGACTGTAATACATGAACCTGATGTTACATAATCTGCCTGCTTTTGGATAATTTTCTCTGCTATCTGCTTATTGGACCGCTGTGTTTTCCAACAACACTACATTGTAAGTTTGGAGCAACAGGAGGCAGACGGTACCTCTATGCGTCAGAGCTGGGCTGAGGGGGAGACTGACAGATGTCTTCAGTAGGAGAGCTGTCTGCTGTGCCTCTAAACCAGGAGAGAGGACACACACACAAAGAAAGGAGGGTTAGTAAAGACAAAGACAAACAGGCGTGAAGCGACAAATATTAAGTGGAGTCAGACTGTCAAAGATCACGAAGAGGGAACACAAAACGGAGAAAAAAGCAACAGCGGTGCAAGGAGTAAAACATGAAGCATCACCTCAAAAAGTGTTTGAGAATGGGTGATAAAAAAGGATGCCACATGTAGAAAAAGCTTGAAGTTGTGTTTAGAGCAAGCTTTGAGCACAGATGTAGAAAAAGAAGCTGCGTTTTAAAGGTAAAGCATCATAGCACCCTCCCGGTGTGTGTAGATGCGTGTTTTCTTACCCGCTCTTCCAGTTGAGGATGTGCTGTGGGCTACAGGGCGGTGTGGGCGTGGCTACGTGCTCCCTGGAGGGCGTCACACTCCTCTGGCTGTGAGGGGATGCCGCTAAACAGAGATCTGAGAGTCAGTAAAGCCACATACTGCACCACAGAGGGTGAGGGGCTACGGAATTCCAACTATGCTCCAACTACATATAGAGTGTGTGTGAGGGGGGGGGCGCTGTCTCAGTGTTAAAACAAACACAGAGACACATGAGCCAGTCCACGGTCATCTGTCCAAACAGTCCCAAGGGCATGGGAGAGGGCCTCGTTGGCGCAGTAGGCAGCGCGTCAGTCTCATAATCTTAAGGTCGTGAGTTCGAGCCTCACACGGGGCATGTTTTGTGTTTCTTTTTACTTTCATGACACTTATAAAAGGCTGCTTTTGGTTTTTTTCTGTTCTTCCAGCATGTTGTCTAACGTTTCCTATTCTCCTATTAAAAGTCATTGAACAGGCAGGTTCACTGTAACAGCCAGTAGTTGCTACCACGCAAGGACATTTGAGGATCATTAACATCACGCAGGTGTTTTGTTCCATTAATAATTCATGGAAGGAGGGGTAAATTTGAAATGCTTAATATTCTGCATGAATTTGAATTTTAACTGCTAAGAAATTAGCAGTGTTTACACACAACGATTGAAAAACTGTATATTGAACCTTGGTTGAAAAAAATAGTTTCCACTGTGAGGCACAGTGAGGGAAGGTAATGAAGTAAAGCAACTCACATTGAACATCTAATCAGAATGCAACAACAGAAAAACTAAAACAACACGCAGTGTCACGAGAAGTCATTTAAAAGGAAGATTACACACATTCATCAGTGTTTTGATGATTCAGTTTGACCTCTATAAGTCACATGATCTAAAGGCTATAGCCTCAGGCCACACTAGAGACTTTACCCTTAAAAAGCTCCAAACAAACAGGCAAAACGTTCCTTCAGTGCTCCCATAGTCGAGTTATTGAACAAAATAACAACAACTAAGGACCACAGCATGTAGCTGTTGTCTGAAGCAGATGCTGACGATGTGTCTTTGGCTTTTTAGTTGAGAATTTTAAAGAAAGTGCACGAAGGCTTACCTGGTGAGCCCTTGGCGAGTGTCCCGACTCTACTCCCTCGGCCATGCCCCACTGTGCCTTGCTGTGACCCAGCTTCAGAGGAAGTGGAACCTGAATGTGAGTGACTCCTTTCCTTCAGGCTCCCTGAAGACCTCTGGTACCAACACCGCAGCTCTTCAGACACCGCGGCCCTCCCACCTCCTCCACCTCCGTCTCTCCCCAATGATGGAGTCCTTACGATCTGAGAGCGTGACGGTGTGAGTCGGCCGCTCCCCTCTCCTCCCTCTTCACCCCCCCAGGCCTCCTTGTACAGTCCGCCAGCCGTGTAGGAGCTGGAGGTCTTGAACTGTGCCTTCACGCTATAGTGGCCCTCCTGGTCGCTCTCCAGGCTGCGCACCACCACAGGGTTGGGGCTTCCTTCCACGTATAGAGGGTACTCCTTGATACGATACTGGGAGGAGGGCTGGCTCTGGCTGTGGAGGTAGACTCCGTGATGTCCCCCTCCCATACCACCTCCACCTGAGCCTCCACCTGAGCCATTTTTAGCTGCCAGGTTTGGCATAGAGCCCGAGTTAGAGGAACCTAAATGACCAGCAGACCTGCACAGAAAAAGATGGACGTGTAAATCTGTTATTTGTCCATCTAATTTAGTATCAAACAAATCTGTAAAGATTCTCAGTCATCCAGGTCATGGTCAAGCTTGGAAAGTTCCGTTAGGTAACTGGACTCGAGGTTTTCTAGAAGACGTTTTGCCTCTCATCTAAGAGGCTTCATCACTGAGCACTGAGATTAATATACTGTCTACGTCACGTCCAGTTGCCTAACTGATATTTCCAAGCCAGTATCAAACAAAGCCAAAAGCAGAGTCTCCACAGAGCCCTGTCCTTACCTGTGCCTTTGCCGCTGTCTCTGCCTTGCTTTGGAAGGTGAGTCCTCTCCCAGAGTAGAGTAGTTTGGATTGCTGCCCGGGGGTCCACCAGAGGGGTAGTAATGCTCTGAGCTGCTTTGGCTGGTGCAGGAGGAACAGTCATCCAGTGGGTCGGAACCATTGGAGCTGCGTCCTGGGCCGAGGAAGAAGTCAGGACTGCCCAAGGTGTGCGGGTGTGCGTCATGATCCGACGCCAGCAGTTTGCCCTGAGACTCAAGGCTTGAGCTGCGGTTTCTAAAGTGCTGAGCGAGACTGTGCAGACGTGTGGGACTGATGTCCACTGACCTGTGGGACGAGAAAACAGTTGAATTCTATTAAAGATGGGATTTTTATATCAACATATTCTGTCAGAATGAATCATCTCGTTTTTAGATGAACACTGAACAAGCGACTCACCTGGTGGAATGTACATAGTGAGTAGTCCTGGTTCTCAGGTCTGGAGTTGATGGCATACTGGACTGAGAGTTCCAGTGAGGCATGCTCCTGATGGGGCTGCTCTGCAGGGAGTTACTACCCCCTGCTTCAGCACTGCCAGAACTTGGGAAACGTCTGTGACTAGACAAAGAAACGATTAAAAGAAATTGTATTATTGTTATCATTATCTCCTTTTGCACAAGAGTGTGCCAGGTTCATCTACCAAATGAATACTGTACGGCTACAGGCTGAAATCTCCTTCCTCATACCTGGAGTGAGATGAGCGTTTCTTGACTTTCTCATACGGCTCATCCAGTGATGATTCGCTCCACATCTTGGGTTTGATGGGAGATTTGTCATAGTCGGAGCGTGTGTAGTGCAGGTGTCGCAGGCCATCAAGTGACTGCGGTGGAGGGGGCCGACTGTGAGAGGGAGGCCGTGGGGGGAGGCCTTTATGAGGTGATGCTACTGGAGAGAAGGTCGGGGTACCTGTTACGTGAGGATCATCTAAAAAGTAGAAAAACAATACAAAAAAGTTAGAGGAGTGACATCTGCATCAAAGAGAACACAATCGGTATCAGGAGCCTTGAAAACAACACATTAAATGAGTTTACAAAAAATGTTAAGGGTAGAGTTTTACCATCATCCAGGACAAGTGCATCAGATAATGAGCTATCTTCAGAGCACATATTGGCTTCTACAGGACAAAAAAACTATATGTTAGAGATTACACAGTCAGGTATTTCTAGGGCCATGTTTACACCTCTAAAATTGCTGCAGCTTTTCGGGTTCGGACAGCAACAGAAAGAAAGCCATCATCAGTATTATCAGTCATAGCTCATAGGCACAAACAGATATATGACAACAGCCTGATTTCCCCACTAGCAAACTAGAGTATATTGTTACCTTCTATGATGAGCGATGCCCTCTGCGTAGGCTTTTTGCCAGAGCGGACCCGGTACTCATTGATAGAGTTCTCAATTTCCTGGAGCTTCTTCAATGCGTTCAGATAAGAAGTCTTCCTCTGTTTCTTCAGCTTCTTGCTGCTCACATGAGGATCACTGGCCAGGCGCCGGGCTGCCTCTGTAATCTGGGACTGAATGGCAAACTCCCGCTCCAAACGCTCAAGCTCCTCTTCCTGGCACACAGACAAGCACCATTGCAAACTTCTGAGTGAAACAGACTCATAGTTACTTGATCTTCACACTGTTTTAGCAACAGAAATCAACGAGCGATCCAAAAACAACACGTCCAAGTTTGCAGACACAATTTCATTCTAACTCTCCCATGCTACACATTTGGTGGGGGGAAGGTTTGCCAGGGAAAACATGCTGCGGAAATAATTTATCTGTGCTGCAGCTGTGCATTTTCTCACCACCGGACAGTCTCTATTGAGGCACTCTGCTCCCCAATAATAACATCCCTGCATCAATCTGTCCTCTCCCACAAAAAAGCTCTCCTGGGATTCATGGAGCAGAGGAGTTTGACAAAGTAAAACATTTTCTATCAAACAGAAAATGCATTGGCTGAATAAATATACAGTATGTAAAGACTGCATAGCCAAATGATATTAACACAGCGCAATGTTTGAATAGTATAACAAAAACTTGGCAATATGATTACAGACTTTGAAGTAAACTCTCTGCTTTGACCTAGACTGTGTGTAGCTAGCATGTAATTAGTAACCTCTCATCTAAGAGAAAAAACACACAGTTTCAATTGCCTCTACAGAGACATAGCAATGATGTATCCGCTTGGGTTAACTTAATACTGGACAACCTCAGTTCTGAGGAATCTCTCGCACCACCAGGGGCTTTGCACCACTGCTAGAACAGCTTCAGTTTCTCTGTGAAGGCTATAAGGTGCTCAGTGTACGCTAAGTAACGACTTTCTGCTTGCTTGGCAGTTTTGTAATATTGTGTGTCTGGATTCTTTTCAAAGCATACAACCTCAGCGTTACACATGCAGGCGCACACACAATCCTACTATCACCACTTCCTGTGGCGAGAATACTGCCAGATTATATTTAGAAGCTCCACTCTGGAAAATCTAGCCGTGGCACAAAACGGCAGCAAGACAAAGATTGAGCATACAGCCTTTCAGGTCCAAGACTTTTCAGACTGTCGGCTTTTCAGAGCTCTCAGATTCCCTTGTTATTTGAGTGTAATTGCTGTAGAGATCAGTTACCCTTACATAAAAGGAGTCATCACCACAGTTTTAGAGTTATTTGTTTTAAAATGGTCACACAACCAGATGACCTCATGTTTTTTTTCTTTCTTTTTTCAGGTTTTCTGGGCTTTACCTCTCCTTTAGGTAGGATTTTCTGCTCATCTAGTTTGAAAGCAGTGCCAATCTTCCGCCTGACTGTGGGTGGTTCCTCCCCTGGATCCAGAGGATATTCCTTTGGAAGTTTCCCTGTCAGCTCCTGGACAACATGGTTGGGTTACAACATTGAAAAGTAAGAATAAGGGAGCGAAACATTGTTCGGATTTAAAATAATAGAAGGTTCTGTTAATCATTCTCCATACCGCCTCTCTAATACAGATGCTCTTGAGTTCCTCTAGTCTCTGTTTGAGTGTTTCCTCCAGAGCTTCCTGCCTGGCCCTTAGTGCAGCGAGCATGTCCTTCTTAGCGGTCTGGGAGCTGTCTGATTCCTGAGAGCCTGTGGGGAGCAGACAGCACACAATGTAAGGCCAGGAGTTTTGCGATGCAGATCGGAGAGGGGAGGGAGAAATCCTATGCCCACCTGCTAGTCTTGCAGGATGTTTACGAGGAAGTGAATGGAACATTTCGATAAGGAAACTAAGTTTCGGATCTGTGTTTGTGCGAGCATGTGACTGTTTAGAGGAAAGGGCAGTTTGGGACAAAGCATGTGACGCACAGATACAAGGCTCTGAGACGGTGCCAATCTTGTTTGCAACATATCTTTTTGAAAACAACCCATGCACTCCCCAAAAACACAGTTTTTCTCTCACTGACCTAAAGTGGCTCAATGCCTGGTTAAAAACAAATACAAAAGTAACTACTGCTGAAAATGCCAACAGCTGAAAATGCCTTTTCATAAACACACCAAAAGTATTCCTTTTTTTTTTTTTTTTACAAAATACATAATATTCAGTTCACAGTATTTTTTGGCTTGCATGTATGCAAACACATTATTGCCAGTCATGAAAAAAGTACAAATAGTTTTGTCTTGAAGAGTCTTATATACAAGAGAGGCAAATTATTAAAATAAAATGTTCAAAACTATCAAATAAAATGATGTGGTCTTGATCCGGCATGTCATTTTGCAACAGTATAACGTAGCCTTAGTAACATTAAATAGCTGTCTCAAGTGTTAATTAGTTCAATCTACAAATCTTCCTGTCTCAGTTATTATTTGTTTAACACAGATTAGCATTGTTTTACAGACCATGGCACAGTGGTACACAGAACTGCTGCTCGTTCCGTTCCCCCACCCTCTAAATTTACACAAATCCGGACGATGAGTCTGCGTGACAGAGTGTGGGAGTGCTGTTCTGTACATACTGAAAGACTCTGGGTGGAGTCAGTATAGTACAGTATGAGAACATTCTAAAGAGAATGAGCTGTCTCCCTCCAGCAGCATCTGTTCCTGTCTCTCAAGTTGTCCACAAGATTCCTCATCACCAGCACAAACAAAACTCCAATACCAGTCCATTGGCATATCAATCTCTCTTCTTTTGTCTTTTACCTCAAGTTCCCTTTATCAATCCGAGTCTCACTGACCTGAGGAGAGCAAACTGCCACTGCTGCCACTGATGATCTTGCCCTTGCTGCCCATGTTTGCGAGTTTGGAGGTCTTCAAAGTTCCTGTTTCTGTCAGGTCTATCGCAATCTCACTCAAACTCCGAGCTGCGTGAATCTTCGACTGCACAGATGGAACATATTAGACATATTACATAGCAGACGCATTACAGAAGTTCAGTTTTGACATCACACAGCATTTCTGTTCATGTCTGTGATCTGTTGTGCTTCGTGTGTGAAGGGCTGACCTTGCTTTGCTTGCGGTCCAGGTAGAACTGGTGTTGACTGATAGCCATGGCCCAGATGGACTTGATGAGGGCTGGACAGGCGTACCAGGTATGCACAGCAATGCCGCTGTGGCCAAACGTCCTTCTTGTTACCGACGCCCTACAGTAGGAGCGGACACAAAGCCTCCTTATATACACTGAATACGAAAGTTGAAGTCATATCTCACTTTTGCTCAGCGACTCCGGTGCAGTGACTCCAGCTTCTACTGTGAAGGACAAATAATGACGATAGAGGTAGTTTTCTTGCTGAACCACACACGATGTTCCCCATTGTTTACTCATCCTTTTTTAAACACACATCTGTAGCAGAGCAGGAGACCAGCTCGCTCTAATGACAGCTTCTTCTAAAGAAAACACTGCTGCTGCCTGTTTCACCCTGTCTGTCTCTTTATCTCCCATTCCCTCCTACGTGCTCTGTATATATATATATATATATATATATATATATATATATATATATGTATCCATGTTAAATAAACACAAGAGGTCACTTCCTGAGCAAAAGAGGCATCACACAGCAATTTATCCCTCAATGGTAATTTATCAAGGGTTCACTCTGTGTGAGCATGTGATCAAGAGAACATGTGTTTGTTAATACTCAGACAATCAGTCTGTGTGAGGCTCCACCAGCACATCCCCAATGTCTTGCTCTGTTGCCAAGACAAATTCTGCCAAAGTATCATGCAATCTTCTTTTCGCTTTAGTGTGGATTTCATTCCCATATGCTTCAGTGTTAATTGACAGCTAAGGCTCCTGGAGGGTGTCCAGAACTGAAAAAGGTCAGTTACATTGACGCCGAAGTGATGTGTGTTAAGTCCAGAGATTAATTGTGAGAATGTTTGACAGCGAAAACAGAATTGGTACGAGACAACAATAATCTAACTTGTAATTTTAGAGGAGGATTTAATGTTAAAGATACAACATTAAACTGTTTCGGGAATAAACACCAGACGTAGTTTGTGATATAAATTTACCTCCTGGGGTCATGAACTTCCACTGAAAACTTCTTCTCTCTGAAGTAGAGGTTCTCCAGCTGACGCCATTGAAACACCTGAGGTTTAAGAGAAACAGACTGCCTTCAGGACGGCACTCAAAGGCAACATGCTTCACATTAAATCCACCCAGCATTCAGACAGATGTCCTCATCGAATACTCCTCTGGCAAAATATATAAGTATAGGGAGGAGCGGGAGAAAAAGAAAAAAGCTGATGAAAAGGAGCTGCTTTGGATTGAGAGAGGAGACCTGGTTTGGATGTCTATGATAAGTTCCACACCAGCCCAGTATTCCCACAATGGATCCCAGCACAGGATGAGCTCACTTTGAAGAAGGACGGTATGAGTTGAAGATGGCTTCTTCTCGTCTGCGTGACTTTCTGTTTCTTTTTATATCATCCCCTTCACGAACCATCAGCTCCTCTTTAAAAGACACCACAGCCAGCTGGGCGCATAAACTCTCCTCAAGACGTACTCCAGAGCATGTGTGCATCTAGGGTACTCGCAGGCGCATTGGATCTGAAAATTATGAGGTGGTGGGTGTTCACCATCTGGATGCGTGTGTGTGTGGTTTGGTGGAAAGAAAGCATGTAAAGTTGAGTTTCCTCCTCTCCCGGAGCTGTGCTGGGAGGGTTAAGAGGAGAGGGGGCGTTTATGCCTCCCCTCCTCGTGACCCCTCCTCCCTCCCTCTGGGACTGCGCATTCTGCTCTTGGCTGCGGTTGGGAGGTGTGTGTGTGTGAGTCGAGGGGTCGGGCAATGTGTGTGTGGTGTGGTGAAGTGGGAGTGAAGCTTTCTGCGGCCCCTGCGATTGAAGTGCCCTGGCTTTGTTGGTCAAACCTCTCCGAGCACACTCACACACACGCGCACAAACACATACATTAGCAAAGTCTGAAAGTCTGTGTCTGTTTCTTGTTAGTGAAAAGGTAGATTGTGGATTGCTATTTAAGAGCACACCGTCATCTGGACACATATCAAACCTTGGAATGAGTAACAAACAGACAGAAAAGAATTAAAGAGGAAGACTCCTGTACGACAGCAAGAGGGAGGAAAAGAGGAGAAAGCGGCAAAGGGAGGAACAGGTCACTGCACAAGAATTTTAACAGCTTAGTAAAACAATGGACAGAAGGATGAGAAGGAGGGGGGAGGCAAACACTTTATAATGTTAGCATGTGTGTCTATATACATGTGCAAGCATCAGGGAGGCAAATCAGCTGCCTTATCAAAAGTCTTGCTGTACCGTGCATTTTCAATGGAGTGAGAAGTGCTAATGTAGCATGGTGCTAAATATAGCAGGCAGGGCAGATACCAAGAGGCTGTTTGAGTGTGCACGTGTTGGCAACTTACGGGCCAGAGCCGTGGAGATAAGATAACCATTTGTTACAGTTGTCTTCCCAAAAAAAACCCCCACTAAAGCTGTCTTCACCATCAACCAGACGGAGTTGCTACATTTCAACTGTTGGTTTGGATGTTTCAGGGAAAGATGAACATGTCCAAAAAGGTTTTAATACATTCTCAGAATGACACATTATTAGGGGCAGCCATGACTTCTAGAGTCTTATATCAAGTTTTTTGTTGTTGTAATTCTATGCTGTTTTAAACTCACATAAACCTTCTGTAGAAAGAACTTTGTAGTTGTGAAAGACTGTCAGCAGTTTGAATATCTGATAAAAACCCGCTGACAGCTTTTTTCAGAAGAACTCGGTCAGAGCTGGTGGGTGGTTCTGTTATGATGTGTGCACACACATCAGATCCTCTTTCTTTTGCCTGTAGAATGCTCACGCACAAGCACAGGAAGTGACTGGTCATTATTCATTGTCGTGCCGGGTGCTCGTGTGTACAGACCCCAGTCTGTCTCTGAATAATGTCTGTGCAACCAAACACACATGCATCAGAGATGAAAAGGTCAAATCTGATGGGCTGTAAATGCCTTTCTTTGGTGCTGAAGGCTCCCTGGAGATTGCTTGAAGAATAGAAAGTTAAAATAGCTTAGGTCAGTACAACTATGGTGTGGCTAGGTATTATTGTTCTCAAGACTTGGACCTGAGCGACTATTGTTTCATCCATGGGCGGGGTTGTAGTGTACAATTTTTCATCCACCAGTTGTCATAGAGTTGCACACAGTCGGGGATGCTTGGTCTTGTTTATTTATGAAGGATCCAACCTGGACAGGCTACAAGTGGTTGTCCAGGCAGAAGAATTCGTAGCTATGTTCTATGTTTATTAGCACAACTGTTGGTCAATATACAGTAATTTAAAGATCGGTTTAACAGGAAACAGGTTGGTCATAATCAGTCGTTAAGGAAGTCTGTTGACACATAAACTCTATAATCTCTGCTTAAATGAGTCACGAGACTCAAATGAAGCATTAGAGCAGTGTGTGGTTGCATAGTAAAACTCAGAATGTGTGTACTGTAGATTTCTCTGCATGTGGCCTGTGTTAAAAAGTAAGTGTACTCAAGCATCCTTAAATGAATGTGGTACATGGTCTACCTATAAACCCCCCCCCAGCTAATTGAAAACAACGACCACCCCTGAGTACACAAAGCAAAATCGGACCTTTATCAATGAATGAAGATACTTGTTTTTATAAACACAACACATTCTTACTGTGCCTAAAGATGTGTGCACCTAAACGTCTGAAATGGTGCCCTGCCTCCACTTCCAACATTGGCTATAAAGTGGTTACACTCTGAGTCAGTGGTTACTGGTACGGATAAGGCTGTATGTCTGACGAATCACTAAAACTACACTTCCTTTATGCTTCCTCCAAACATAACATCTAGTCACCTCTCCCTTTTCCAGTTGTCAGCTCTGGAAAACAAACACCCTTCACCTGATTGTCTGATTACTGAACAAACCCAGTCTGTTCTCACTGATGTCTCGCTAAGCATGTGATGTTGATGTCGTATTTGGGTTAAGCTCCTCAAGACTATAATCTGACCTGTACCGTGAAGAGGCCCAGTCTTTCTCATTCTTTCTAATTGTATGTATGTGTAAGGGTGAAAGAGGGGAAGAGCATGAGGGGTTAAGTACTGAAACTTAGCGGACCAGTGATTCACACTGAATGCTGCTATGGCAGCTGAATGCTGATTAGTGGGAATGATATTAACTCTTTCTTTACTCAGTCTCTCCCATAATAACTTATCATCATTATTCTTATTACTATTATTATTATCATCTTATGAAGAAATCTGTGTTTGCTTCTTATCTAGTCTTTTTTCAAATTTGTTCTGTCGTCTATGCTTATTTTAATTGGATGTGGCATAATGACACCTTTTTTTTATCGCCATGGTGACTTAACACCTGGGCAACCACAGGGTTAAGGGCACTTTAATGGATAGGAATAGAGCGAGTGGCGTAGTATGCACGAATTAGGATGCAGACACACGTAAAGTACAACATTTGCGGTAAACAGGAAAGCATTTAGCAGAGAGGAAGTTCTCATAAGGATGGTAAGTTCAGTCTTAAGCTCAGTGTTAGCTAACAGTGAGTGTATGTGTACCTGCGTTTATGAACAACAGAATGTGTGTGTAACTATGAGGGAGTGTTTTGATGGTTAGTCACTATGCAGGGATGCTGTTAACACAATTAACCCCCTGTGACACAAGGCGGCATGCCAGAAATCAAGGCTCCAAAACTGGCAGGGAAAAAAGAGGTGACAGACAACTGAAAGGCGGTTCATTCAGATACACTAGTGGGTGGACGGACTCAGAGGAGGATGCCATTACAAAGGCAGAAGTAAATTTAGGACAGGATGTAACATTCCAAGACTGAAAGTCTCCACACAGTTGTAATTGTAAAACATTGTAGTCATTGTAAACACAATGTCCTGTCTTACAGAATGGAATAATGTCCCCCATTCCCCACCCAAAAAGACTCAAAATATGTGAAAAAATGTTTAATTTAAAGGAACACATTTGTGATCAGAGAGAGCTTCATCTCACCTTCCTGGGTTTGACTTTGTCCTGGTAGTCATACTGAAAGATTCCTTTATAGCTTAGTCCCAACCACCAAGGGATCCCCTGCTTATCCTAAAGACACAGCAAAAATAACTCAGGAATTTTGTTAAATAGCTTCCATGAATTGCCAAATGTCTATTCTCAGGTCCTGAGTGTGCAAAAACTGGATGTGGTGCATGTGTGAGAAAGAAGCAAAAGGAGAGTAGTAAAACTGTACCTTTACAGCATAATAATGCACTCCATATGTGGGCAGAGACTCTACAATGCTCATATAACTGTGAAAACAACAGGAATATCAAGAGTTAGGGGAAAGTCACTCTTCCATACGCTGGACCAACATGTAATCAGCATGTACAGACTTACTTTACAATAGCCTGCCCTCTGGACTGCCCATTGAGCTTCTTATAATGCTCTATCACCCGGTCTTCACTGAAGGGGAGGGGAGGGGGGGCAGACGTTTTTAGGGAAACTGGTGAGTCACTGACAGGTGAGTGGATACTATGCGGTGTTGTAAATTACTGAATAGTCTATTACCAGTAAGCCAGAGACGGATGCTCCTTTAAGGCCTGGGTTGGCAGAGCAGGCAGCTTTTTCAGGTCCGACCTGGTTGCGTCATTGCTGTTGAGAAATTAAAAAAAGGCCATTACAACTCTGTGGAAATTATCTTTTTTTTTTTACAGTACAGACAATACAATTCAAACAAAGAAAAAACTCACATGGAACTGATAACTAGATACCACTAGAAGATATTTCGAACAAAATGGGGGTGAGTGAAAGAGGTTCAGTTGAGAAAGAGCAATAAATGCTGATGGCTCAAAAGCTCTATTTTAAGGACAGGGTGTGGCTTATCTATGAACAGCTGCAGTAACACTGACTGAAAGAGGAGAAAAAGTGATAGAAACACAGACACCAAGTCAAAAGATATACAAAGATAAATAGAGATAAAGAAACAGGGACAGAGCTGGAAAAGATTAAGATAGAGATTGAGTAAATGAGACATGGAACCATGCAGAGAGGTAATGGGACTTGGCCCCTGATTCGGTTTTCAGACTTCAAGTGGCAGGAGTTCTTAATACCCTACTCTAATCCCCTAGCCTCTCTTCAGCCAGGCCCCAGAAGATTGGGGAAAGCCCTGGGAACATGACAACCTATGAGCTAAAGCCCTGGAAGAGATCCCATACACCCTGCCCCGCCCAAGCTTCAATGTGTGAAAACAGCTGTGAGCTGGATTTGGCTATTATACTGTTTATGTATCTTTATGAAAAATTCTAGCCTTATAGATGTTGAAAAGATGGAAAATATTAATAGAGGTCCTTCTAGTGATTAAAATATTTGTATTAAATAAAATTGCTATTATCATTTGAAGTACATTCATATGGAAGATATGTAGCTGTGCAGCCTGCAGCTTTTATGGCTTTTAAGAGAAGGGATGTATATGTGAGTAATGTATGTGTTTGGAAAGAAGAGGTAAGGCAAGGGGGAAGATGATGAAAGGAATATATGCAGCGTGTAACATTCCAGCACACTGCAGGATGTTGTGTTTATTTACTCCTTTCAGTGGTGGAAATGAGGTCAGAGGTGATGGCTGCTGTAGTTTGCTATCAATGCTATGCTGAGCGGTGAAGAATGATTTACATTTAGACCAACTTAAAGAGTCACTTGAGCAAAGTAGCTCAAGTGAAACACGTGAATGTCTATAAAGAATACATCATTACAGGGTCAACTCAATCTAACTTTAAAGGTTGATACTTGTCACTTCATATTTGAAAAAGAATTGTTAAACTTTTTTTTAGCATTTTTCACAACACACGGGAACATATAATCCACAGTTTTCAGACTGGAAGCCGAGTCTGAAATCAGTCACAGTAAAACTGGATACTTAGCTAGGATATAACTAACAACACAGAAAGCAAAACTGTTTCACACTTGCTCTGGACTCCTGACATGTTTTGGAGATATTCCTGAGCAGTGCCATGTGACAGAGAAAATGTCAGCGAAATTCACTGCAGAGTTGTGGCAGATTATTTCTACCTGACCTCTATCAATACAGTTAGAAGCCTTGTCTGCTTTTCTGTGAATGTTGTAAAGGAAACACAAAAGGTAGTAGTGTCATTTTTGTATCATGTGCTGCTACCTGCTCACTGTAGACATCCTTTCACTTTTATGATTTGCTTCTGTGAACAGCAACAGCAGGAAAAAAGTGGACATAGTTCTCTGTGTGAAAACAGCCAGAGATAGTTCCCAGTGTTTCCCCTCAGTGTTCAGGGAGCAGAGGGGCAGTAAAACACGGATCTCTATTATCATCTTGGTCGTCTTTCTATCTGTGCTTTTTCTTTCTGAATCAACAAGCTTCACCTCTTTAAGTATGGAAACACTTATCCATTCATCTTGGTATAGTATTTCAGCTCGGCTAAATAATTCTATTTAAGAATGGATATAATATGTCAAACACTCTGCGCTCCAAGTCTGAAATGAGATCATACTTCATCCAACACTTACAACTCACAAAATAGTATTAAGATGTTCAGATATTTATGAGTATGGATAGAAAACAGACAGAAAGCCAGCAACATGAAGCACAATGTGCCACTATTGGTCTAGTAGTTTGCTTCACTGAGCTGGCGGATGGTAGTAAGCACTCTTAGCATTTCATACATGAAAATGAGATGTTTTCCAGTATGCTTACCTGGTAAAATCACCTTTGGCCTCCTGTGACAAAAAGAGGATCAGAGAAATTAGTATAGATGATACAGTTATATGTTGTATGTATATTTATGGTCATGTGCAAGAACTGAGCAGTAAAAATAAAATGTGTGCTTATGTTCTGTTTTCATAGGGGAAGGAGCAATAAAGCTTGCACTGCTGGAGGGGGACAGAAACATTAAACCTCCACCCCAGCTAAAACCTTTGAAGACCTGTGGTGTAGAAACCTGATACAGTACATCTGCACTTGCACACACACATACACACCTACACGCAGATAAACCACTCAGCCCTGTCTGTATGAAACATGACCTAGCAGAATCACAGCTAATGGACTGACCTCCTCTGAGAAAGGGACAGGAAAGAGAAATTGTTGGAGCGGAAAATAACTTTGAAATTACAAAGTTTTGATGGAGCCTTCTTATCTGTTAAAGTGCAAAATCTCCAAGAATGGCAGATGAAAAGTTTGTCTATTTAAGATAACTGATAGTTTTGCGATTAGAAAATTTCTGGCTCACTGCAGATTAATGACGGATTTTAAATAATATGAATTAAATCACTTGCAATTATGACTTCAGTAAGTCATGCAAGTTTAAAGACCCACAATTAGCATAAGGGCTAGCTGTTTCATGTTTAACTCACATTTGCTCGGATAACGTCTATGTTGAATTCATGAAAAAATTGTATTGAGATGTAGATCTCTTTCACAAACTCACCGTTACATACAGACAAGAGCACTTTGTCTTACCTGCAGAATGTAGGAGGCCAATTCAAAGACAACCTCACTGTCGACTTCAATAAGCTCCTAAAAGAAGCAGAACAGCAGTCACAAGTGATCCATTATTCAAAACATACACTTTGCTAATATGGAGGGTAAAATCTTAACACACCAGTCAATAAAAATAACTTTATCATTACAAATAACTTTTTCTGCAGTCAACATTTCCTCGTGTAGAACCAATAATTGGGCAAATTAGGTGGCAAGCCGCTAAAAGACAGTGACATACCACAAATCTTCACCTCAAAACACCCACTGATCTTCTCAATTTTCTTTTTGGAAAAATGATTAAAGATCAGAGGAAAATCTCAATCTAAAAAAGAAAAAAGGATCCTTTTTGGCCATATAAACACCTCTATCTATTTTCAGAGGCTGAATGCATCCCAAGAACAAAGTAAAAAGAGAGTACCTTACATATGATGGACTTGGCATTAAGAAAGAACAGCTCGATGGTAGCATTGTCCTTAAGGTAAGATATGCTCTCAATGTAGAACCTGAAAAAAAGAGACATTTCCTTAGTACCTTTTCCACTTTAAAGTCTGCAAGTATATACAATCAGTATATACAATCAGTCTGATAACAGGATCTTGAATTGTTTTATCATCTATGTGGCCATAACCCCCAATTAAAGAGAGTAGAGGCTTTTGTCATTTTACCCAGCGGTAACAGAATGAGTGCAATGATCAAAATGACCAGCGGGGGGCACACCATACCAACAGCTGACCCCATCACCAAGCCATCATTTCACTTCCCTTCACACTAAATCTCCCTTTCACCAGGCTGGCAAGCCATGATTCATTACTAGTTTGTTAGTGTGTGCACATTCCACAATGCGAGCATGTAGACAGCTGCACACATGCACACCCTGAATGTGCTCATGATGCACTTCGCACAATTGTCTGCATCTGTGCATCATCAGCAGACTGCAGTGATTGCATACCCACATCCAGCACAAACAACAAGTACACACACACAGTTACATACTGGCGAGAGAAGCACAGTAACCCACTTCTGGCAGGGCACTGAGTAGTGCTCAGGAACATAATAATGCTGTAAATTTAGCTCCTGAATGCATGCAGAGCCAAAGCAGAGGTAAGACGGTAAAGTGGGAGGCTTCACTTTGTTAGCTCTCCTAGTGGCACCACATCAATAAGATTCTGTGACACAAATGCTCCCCCATGTTTTGAATAACGTCACTCATCAAATCCCTCATCTGTACATTAAAGAATTCCGCTTTACCACATTTAGCTTTTCTGTAGATGTGCTTAATGTTAAATAAGCACACGTTCCTACCAGTACATGTGACTCAGTGTGTATAAGTATTGAGTGATAAGGACTATAGGCGGATCAATACTGGAGGGTTTAAATCGTGTTATCCATTGAGCTGCAAGAGAGAATGAGAGGAGCCTTGTCAATAATCAGGGTGAACATTTAATTAAAGCCAAAGTGAGTGTTGATGAGACATAAACACACTGCCAGCACAGCAGCTAACATGCAAAAAGGCACCCACTGAATCAGCAGGTCGTGGGCATCTGCCTAACACTTTTAGGGACTACACATTGATCCAATGCATGCACCTGTGCAGAGATAAGCATAGACACACACCTAAGCACACAACAACCTTTCTCTTAAAAAACAAAAAGATATAATGAGACTGATAATAGATTCAGGCCTGACATTTGGGCTCCCCGTTTTTTCGTAACAGGCCAGAATCTGCATAAGCTGAGAGTGTGTGTGAGAATGTGGGTTGGTTTTGTTTGGGGAGGGGTGTATTCATGCCTGACATTTGCAGAGATTAGAAACTGAGCTGAATTGTGTTAGAGAAGATGATGACGATACCTCAAAATGATGTCAAAGTTCAGTAACACGACCATAAAATAACACATATATTAGTCTCTGTAAATACACTAACAGACCGTCACCCTGCCCAGCTCACCACTGCCACGAATACACGCACAAGGCTGTTTGGTACAATTTTCTAAGTAAGTTAAATGCAATAGGCGTAATTTGTAAGTGATTATCAATGCAATCTGCTAGTGTATGTTCCATTACTGCTACGATTGTGCAGTGACATCCATTGTTCAGTAAACAAAATGTGCAGGAGGACCAAGAAAAGGAGTTTTGGTGTGCAGCTGCCTCATTGTGTTGTGACTCGAGCTATAAATGCCACCCTGGAAATGGCTGCTCAGTTACATTGTTTACTGGACTTAACATGCGTCATACTACTATGTATGTCTGTGCGACAACATCAAGATGTATTGTACAGGAGAGCAGTGAACACACGTGGACAAACAATGGTTTAAGTTTCCCTTTCTGAGTTTTTCTGAGGATGCCTGTCACTGTGTGTATGTAAGACAATGTTTGTATTTGGGCTTGAGGAATGATTCTGTGTGCCACTGTTTGCTTTCTCTCTTTATTTGTCTTCTTTCGTTTCATAACCTACTTAGGACAAAGCAAGCATGCAATCAAAGCACATGCAAACTCTTTGTATCAGTGTTACATTAGATTCAATGCATGTGTATGAGCCAGGAGAGTCTTATGTAAGAACGGGCTGTTGTAGGAGCACTAAAATGGCTTAAAAGAAGAGTGAAGAAATTAGGCTTCACAGTATGCCAAAAGGAGGCTGATGCAAAAGCTCTGAAATAGAAAAAAACAAGAAAGGCTCAATGAAAGAGCACATGTCTCATAATGTGGTGAGTCATGTACCAGGAAAGATTCTGCAGTACTGTTTTACACATGAGCTTGTTACACCTTTTAAAAACGACTCTACAACTGCAAAAATCCTGTCATCACATACAAAGAAGAGACTTCCCCCTTCACAGCAAGGCTCTCTGCTGTCTCATTCGGAGAATTCTGGCATTCTGTAGACACTGTGAGGCCATTTGCATGGAATCTACATGCATTGCATACTGATGAGGTTTAAGAGGCTCATGATTGGCTGAGAGACCCCATGGCGGGAGTTAAATACTGAGGTCAAAGCTATTTCATAACTAATCTGATTAATCTGCTCTTATTACAACTTAAATGTACGTCATATGCATGCATAAACACGTTCAGATATACTGAATTTTTCCAATCAAACCCCACTGTCAGTGTGAAAGTGTGAAAAAGAGACTCACCTGACACAGAAGTAGAGGACAATGGGACCAGACTTCTTGGGGAACTCATGCTCTAAAACCCTCCTATCCAGCTGCAGCCAACTGAAGTGGCCCCTTAAGAAAAAAAAACAGTCAATTCTTCATATATTCCACTAAAAATGTTATTCTTGAATTAAATGATTGAACTTTTTAGTCATAATGTCTTTCTATTTGCGTCCTCCCAACCCTCTTTATTTTTTTTCCCTCTCTGATTAAAACTGAGCGACATACTGCAGAGGCAGCTTGTCACCCTGGTAACCCTGCACGGTCTTGTGAGCAACATCTCTCTTAAACTGTCCTCCCTCCTTCTTCTCTGTATCTGCCTCTCACTCGGCCTCTTTGAACACTGAACGGTCAGAGCTGAGACGGCTGCTCTCTATAGGCACATGAAACAAATCAACACATCATAGAACTCGTCCAGAGGGACGAAGACTGAAAAACTTTCCTATGCCGTTTTGACACTAGGAGCAGTCTGTGTCACAGCAGTGGAAATGCCAGAGAGCAAAGGCCAGGACCGCATGATGCCAGCAGGTATTTTTTAAACTACATTGATAGGAGAGGCATAAATGTCATTGTTTGCCTGTATGTAAATCACTGGCATGTACGAGTGACTGTCTTGCCATGGTAGCTTTTGTTTTTCTAGGTCACGAAACACAACACGAGTAATTTGAATGCCACTTTTGCATTTCAAGCACAGCTTTTTCAACAAGACTTCAGGCAGACACAGGTTCCCAGTCTTTACTATGCCGGAGAAAACCCAGGATGCCTTATAACATCAAAATCCCTTTGTAAATAGAGAACATGCTCCATCAAAGAAATGGAAAAAATATCCTTCTGTTTTCATGTGAAAGACAACAGACACAGCAGATTAGATTTGTAGGTAAATATTTTCCACTCTTTCCCTCAAATGGCCTAACCAACAACCATTTTTTAACTAATGCAGCTGTTCTGCAGCACCTTAGCAGCACATTAAAGAAGCATCGCTATGATCACAAGCCCAATACTCATAAGCCCTTACTGCTTTGTTCAGCAGCACAAAAGAACTGCACCTGAACCTTCATTCCTACTTTTCTTGTCCTCATTTTATACTATTTGTGATATGTATGTTGACAACACTTCAACTACAAGCAACTTAGCTTAGGAGTAGTTACAGTTGAATGGGTGTGCGATGACAAACCTAATTCAACACTATGAATTCAACAAACAATCCTGGAGCACTAATGCACACCATAAATTGTGTCTCTTAGTTAGAATTTCAAAGTAAAATTGACTTACGTTTCATCTGTGTATGCAATTCCGAAGTACTCCTTCTCCTTGAGGTTGAAGTGAGAGGCCACAAGGTCCAGCAAGTCCTTAGCCATCAGTTTGGGCTGCAGAAAGGTAGATACAATATGTTGGTTTAGGTTTTGACGGCATTCATCATCTACACCTTCCCTTGTGTTTGAGTAGTTATTTATAACTTTTCCAGATTGATTAGAGCAAGACAATGTGGTAAAGTTCAATGCAAATAACTTGTATCCCATATTGATTTACTGCAATGACTAAGCATTTCTAAAAACTCTGGGGAAAAGAGCTGAGGAGCAAGAGAGGAGAGATAAGTGAGAGAAAGTAAGAGAGCCCAAGAAAGATGGATGGGCCTTGTGCATGCTGCTGACAGTGCAGGTAGCGAGCCCTTCCCTTTTCCTCCCTCAAGTCTCCTTTCTGACCCATTCCTGCACTGCAGAGTCATGGCTGTGGATTGAATCACTGTCCTGCAGACAGAGCTGCAGCTGGCAAAATATATTCCGAACAAACAAGTATACACATTTCCCAGGCAATATGGGATAAGATCATCCATTCATCACAACACCCAGAGCAGACAGATCATCATACAGCCATGCAAAGGCCAGAGTCTGATGCCATATGCTTCTTGTTTGTCACATCCTGAGTATTAGTATGCCTGACTGTGCGGTTAACCATGGGTGTGCCTTGCTGCCTGCCTTCATGCACACACAAATGCACTCATAAATGTTCACGTATAACATGTACCCAACTCCCTGTATACAGAAGGAACATGTGCATTGTATTTAATAAAAAACACAACAATATATATTAGGTTAAACCAAAATCAAACACCATGCACACAAAGACACAGTTGGAGAGCATGGACATGTGTAAAAATCTCTCTCTACTGTCTGATCTTATCAGCTCACTGAACAGCTAAGTTCAGTGTCACAGGCTACTGAGAGCTATTTAGGGAGAAGGAGATGATGTCATACAGGCCAGACACCCACATGCGCACATGCTACCACACACAGGCACACACACGCTATAATACATTCTCCCTGACCTAGATCCCATATAAGCTTGATGCCTACAGTGATCGTGGTACACACAAAGGCTCTTGAGAAACGAAAAGTGAAAGGAAGCGCTTGAGGTGAAGATAATATATAGACTGATTATGACTCACACTTGTATAGAGACACTAATAGCTAATCTTAATGAAAATGTTGCCTGTTCTTGCATGAAGGGAAGTTCATGGACATTTAAATTAGAGTTAAAATTAGACTTTAAAATGCATTTTTACATTTGCTTTCACCGGGCAAAAAAGAATAATAAAAGTGTACTGACGGTACACTTTGACGACATGAGGGTGATAGTAAAAAGTGCTGACAGCAGGGTTTAAGTCTGTGTAACTCAAAAGAAGGTGGTACTCCTCCTGACAGCATGAATGACACTGTAATTTCTTCAAATAGCTGATTGTGAGTTGACAACATCAACAACAGATCCTTTGAAGTGCTCAGCTTATTTCAGATGTGGAAATTTTAGGTCTGAAGAGAGACTGTCTTCATGGTATTAGCAGTAATACATGTTTTGGTTCAGAGAGCCATACAATAGAGGTCTTTCATTACTACCCAAAATTCAGCTACCATGGCAACAATCCCAATTAAACAAAATCAATGCCACCACAAGATAGCACCAACAGGCAGGAGGACAGAGCCACATGGTCACACTGTATAAATAGTTGGAAAGATGATATGGAGATGACATAAACCCCAGCGACACTGTTTGACATCAGGAATGATCGACTGAAGACGAAAAGCAGCACAGAAAGTGCTCCTGTCCAGTTTCAATGAGCTTCTTGCCTCAGCACAGTTATGAAAACCAGGCAGACAGTAGAATCATATTGGCCCAGGATTAAACCCAGTTTGGTTTCCTCTGCACAGGCACGGAAGCCTGTTAGTTTAACTGCACGAACCAGATGTGTAATAATGTTCCGGATGATGCAAACGGTGATACAGACAGTGAATGACAGGCAATAAAACAAGTGATAAGGCAGGCAATAAGGAGATACCCACAAATACAAACAGACAGCCAGCAGAAACATTACACAAACCTACACAGATAAACACTCAGCAACTATCCATCAGACGGAACAGATCTCTGATAGCTTAGACTCCTAATAGGCTAAATGTCTCTTAGACATCCAGCCTGTGCCTCCTCAGCAGCACAGGTAATTAACAGTGTAAGAATTACAGGGGGGAGCATGAGCACGTGAGAAGGAGACGCTCTAAAGCTTACCCCCAGACAAGTGACAGACACACAACAGTACTTCCCTTGGCCTAGTGTGTTCAAACAACAAATTGGGCCACTGGTGCCTTCAATAAATGAAAGCCTTTAATAGTGGAACTCTCCACATCAAGGTTGTGTAAGGGTGGAGATTACAGCCACATATCCAGTAATAATCTGACTCTCTTCAAGATTTAAGCTAGTTTCCTTATTACACAGCCAATTTGAGAGCCGTCCGTCAAGTACATGCTTCTTTGCCAATGATGCAATGCTCCAAAAACAAGCTGTGTAGGATTTGATATAAAAGGTATGAGGAAGAGGATACGGCAGAGTGGTGAGGTGAATGATACCTGTGAGACTCAGCAGTAAGTAACCAGCGCGTGATGCAACTTCCCAGAGCCAGGCTGTCTGCTGTGCTCGGCACAGATGCAACAGCAGGACAGATCTGACCATGCAGCTGCCCATGATCAGTGTGGACTTATCTGTATTTAAATATTTCAAAGACACGTCTGTTTGCATTGCCTATGAAAACCCCATTAAATTTTTTTTTTTTGGTGCAGGAAGGTTCTAGAATCAGAATTCTAGTACAGAAAGTGCAAAAAGCGTATTCCCAGTTAAAGCTAAATGGTTTGTTAACATGGTTTAGTCAACTTGTTAGCACACATTTTACTCTCTTTGCAATATTTGGAAAAAATTTAAATCCACTTAAGTACTTCTGGTTGACTTGCAGTTAAACGTGTTGGGCACAACAGACCCATTAAAAAAGACAGTAAAAGGAATGTTATATGGTGTAAGATGAAGGTGCCACAGATGTATTTAAAGAAAGACAGAGACTGAGTGGGGGGCAGGCAGGTAAAAGCAAGCCAAGTCAGTGAGATAGAGAGACGGCAAGTGGTAGAGCAGAAACAAGTACCAATTTGAAAGAGAGGATCAGTTCTGACACACTAATCAAATCAGAAAGTCAGCAGACCTATCCTTGGCGTTCCCCTCCATTTTCTCCTCTCTATTCCCATTCCTTCAGTGTCATCTCCTATCTATCCATTCCTGTGCGCTCATCTCACTCTCTCATCCCCTCAGCCTCTAAAGTTTCTGCATTGCCCCATCTATTCACTGCTGGCTTGTCTTCTTCTGTTCTGAGGCAATTAATTTCTTTCATCTTTCTATCAATCCACAGGAATAAGGTAATGGTCTGACCATGGGGAGCTGGAGGAAGTTAAGAGTGGAAGGTTAGTTGAATGAATTAAGGGTTAGACATTGGTTGACAGAACTTTCAAGGCAAAGCGAAAGAGAGCAAAATGGATGTCACTAACGATCAGTTAGTGAGATCAGTTAAAGCTAAAGCATGGAATCAGGACCAGTGGTAGAATGCGATCCGTGAGAAGGGATTGTTGTTTGTTTGCCGTCCCAGCGATATGGAAAATCCTGCTGGATTGAAGGGTGAAGGTACTAACAGTTCGGAAGATGACAATATATTTATTTAATGCCGATTAAGGCTGATCTCTACACCAGGACATATTGCTGCAACAGACAGATCAAATGAGAGGCGTAAGCGTTCCTGCGTGCCTTCTTAAGTGAGTTTGGAAAGATCAGGTGAGCATCAAGAAAGTGCAGCGTCACCTACTGCTGACCGAATTCCCCCTTCATCAGCAATTATCCAAGTCCCCTAAGACACAAGACACTGCTCCCCTCTTGCGTCAAGGAACTGAGAATCTGTAAAATGAGACAGCAGAAAGAGGAGGAAGAGCAGAAAGGGCAGGAAGAAGCAGCGCTCACCTGGACCAGAAGCTCCAGCTTCCTGTCGTCCAGGAGATGGACCTGACATCGCCTCCCCTCCGTCATCTGAGAAACAGAGAAAAGAACACATATAAGATTATCTTTCCTATTTTAAGTTAATCAAATGTTTTGTGCGTCAGAAAAAACCCTTCCCTGTTCATTTTAAAAGAAATACAAAAATGTCAAAGTAGGTCCTATACTCTGGACCATGCTAAAAATAAACCATCACTCCATCAAATAAGACAGGCATGCGAGTTGGTTGTGCCACTTAGATGTTCTCCAGTCTTTGTAGTATTTCAATGGAGCCTTAACAAGGTTAGCTGTGCTAAACTAACCAACCAATGGAGGCAAAGTCCTGCTCTCTGTCCCTCTCTAACATTTCTGACATTCCTCCTTGAGCAAGAAATGCATTCTCCATCAGTAAACTGCTTGCTGACAACATATACTAAAGTGTTGCTGACATAAGGCGTGCTGAAACGCGCAACAAGAACAAAAACAAAAATCAATGTGCCAAGTTTACATTTACATGGACAAGCTGATAGAATTCTGAAATGGTTGGATGGATATTCAGACAAATGCGGCATATCTTTGCAAATTTGTTAGGAAATGAGCTGAACTCTAGACTATGACAGCTGTTGACATTAAGACAGTCGTCCTTAAAATATATGGCCAAAGTGTGCCAGTTCTGATCCTGTTTGAGTGTGTCTGTCTCCATCTGCATCCTGCTGTTTTTCAGCACATGTGGAGTTTCACCACAATTTAACAGGAAGCGGGGACCCTGAGGAGCACAAACACCCTCCGGCTCCTCCCACACTTCCCCCACATCTGGGAGATGGGGAGTCAGAGGGGGAGGATAGTGCATGGGGTAAGAGATGTTGGAGGAGAGGAAGAAAAAAGAAGAGGAGAGACCATCATTGTCACATTACTGACAATGACACCCTTCAAAACACACCTGTCGTAAACATGAACGCAAGCAGAACCGGTTTGAAACTCTTCACCACAAAGCCACCTGAAGCAGTTAACGCTCAATGAGCCAGAGTAAGATCTGACAGGGCATGCATTTTCCCCTTTTTTTTTCAAATTGTATGCATCACAGTGGCAGGCAAAAGTGAGAGTTTGCACAGAGATGAAGATACCAAAAAGAGCAGAGGGGTCAAAACTGACAGAGGTATGTCTGAAAAGCCATCCCAGTGCGAACTCCCCAGAATGACTATCAGTGTCTTTGTGTGGCTTCAGTTTGCCCTCCCACTGACCAGCGATCTCCTGTGGTTTCAGCGTTTAGATGGACCGCACCTGTGCACACAGTGGGATCCATGTACACATGCGTGTTGTCTTTCAAATGTTTTCTTTTGTTCTAATCTACTTTACTCTGTCCTGCCTTTCCAAATCATGCCATGTTTACAGCACATACAGTAATATAGGAAAAAGTAGGACTGTTTATTGCAACCAAGTTTAGGTGAGATTCCAAACATAACAACAGCAGGATGAGTATGTACAGTCTATTTCAATAACCAGGGGATACTGCAAACCTTGACGTCCAGGTAACAAATCACTGCCCTGAGGGTTAAATCAGGGAGTGCACTATGTGGTTTGGGAATTTTCTGAGTTTTTACGCATCATGAAATCAAATGTAATAAAGTCTCCATCAAAAAGCCTGCCATTATTGAACGGATAAATCACAAACAACTGGAAGTAGTATAACGTTTTGGCCCGGTGAAACAATTATCAGATGGATGGTGATTTCAACATGACAAACATTCGTGAATATCTGCAGCTACTTGGCAGAGTTCACACTATAACAAGTATTACACATTTGCTACATAAGTCTGTAGCTCTTCATAGAGAGTCAGGAGAGGCTCATATAGGCTGCATTACCCTGTGCTGCTCTGTGATTCATCTGTATGTAACCCATCAGCATTTCTGACCCATTACTTGTCACGTTTGAATTGGCGGACATATGTCTCAGGTATGGCTCATTGGCAACAAATGCCGAGATCAAAAGATTAAAATATAAAAGGACATAGCACAATAGAAAACAGCCATGGTCGAAATGTTTCATTATGTCCCTGGCTGTGTGCAGTTTTGGTCGGTCAGTGTCTACGACAGCAGAAACATTCTCATTAGGTGGTACCTTGCAAACAAACGCTTCCTCTGAGGCTCCCAAAGAGACGCTGGCACCAGAATGCAAACGAGCCAAAAAAACAACAACAAAACAACCAAAACAAAACAGACACTGATATTAATCCCAGAAAGAGACGAGTCGTGTTCCTGCCACAAAATCATCAAAAAACACCCGCTTTCCCGGCCGGCCTAGAGGAGCGGGCACATCAGCATCCATGTTTGTGACCATTAGTTAACGTTAGTTTCAACCGTCGCAGCTGACTTGAGTCCCCTGAACGCCTCGTATCTTCGTCATTCCAGCCTAAAATAACCGGGCGCTCGTTAACGGCGAACGCCGAGCGTCTTCCGAGGCTGCTGGCTTCTCTCTCTCATCCCCTCCTTCGCGAATGAGGGGAGCCTCACGCTGCCAGACCCGGTCGAGCTGCCCTCCTTCCCTCCCTCCCTCCCCGCTACCGGCACCGTGCACGGGCGGTGAGCGAACGTGCCACCGGCGCGAGACCCCGGCCGACTGGGTTCGGCGCGCGACGGGGTACCGCCGGAAGATGCGCGTTTTTGAATGACAAAAAAAAAAAAACTTATTCCGGTCCACTTCCCAGGTACGGTTCCCCGTTGTCACCGGAGTCGCTTTTCGAAAACACGGGAATAATGGAGGCAAGATGTGGGGGCGGGGAGAGGAGGAGATGAGGGGGAATTTTCTGCAGCTCGCTGCCATGAGAAACTGCAGACCTTTCCCTGTGTGCGCGCGCCTGTGCGCGTGTGCTTACACCCAAACAAGACATCCCGAGTGTGCAGAGCATACAAACAGTCTGCCTATCAAGTGATGGTGAGTGGTGATCTTGAGGGGGTAACAATTCTTTGTCTTCTGTCCTCATATGACTGTTCACTTCATATGGGGCAGATTCTTTTACATCAGTAAGTAATTTCCAGTGTGCAGATTTGAGGATTTCACTGGACATCCCTCTTAGTGCTCCCCGCTTCAGTCTGCTGCCTCCTGTTCACACATAAACACGTCTTGCTTTAAGCCTCCACTTGCTCGACTGAGTGATGGTATTCAGTCCTCGGCAGCCATTGGACCAACTGAATTTTTCTTTTTTCATGTGACCTAAATTGGGCACTTGTGTTCACCTTACACAGCTGGAACAGCAGCCGTTGAAACCACAAACTGTTAACATAACAGAATCAGTTAGGTTTACAGTTCCATGAATAGATGTGTAAGGTACATACATGCCTAAGCCTATAGGTTTATAACCATCAGTGAAGTGTCTGTATGACTTAGCTGGTCTCTTTGCCATATAAAGTTCCTGCATTGCAAAAAGAAAGTCCCAGGCTACATATAAAACAGCATTAGGCGTATTTTCTTATTTGACTTGTCAAGCAACAACTTGTTCAAGCCAGATGTAGTTGCAACATATCTAAAATATGGACCTAATCTTCGTCATATTAAGCAATATCATGTGGTTCAATTTACTGTTCTTGGCTCAAACAGCTCTGTTGCCGGTATAGAGTATGCTTCAACAACCAAAAACAAACAGCCCCAAAAAAAAATCAGCTTAGTTTGCTAAATGTAGACGGTCACATGAGAAATGAGGAGGTGTATCATTTCCCTTCCTGCTGGATTTTTTCTGTTTCTGGATATTTTTGGCCTGCTCCAGACACCGGAAACTTGCCTGTCCAACTTAAACATCTCCAGATGACTCTTTCTTTGACTTTAATATACACACCCGTCCCTCATTTTCATTCTCCGGACAAATACATATCTCCCTTTATTGGTAGCTTCCTCAGTTTGCTATGACAAGGACGCCGTTGTTAGAAAGCAGGAGAGGCAGAAAGACAGGAATAGGGCAGGCTGTGGGGAAGTGGGGCAAGGCTGGCCATGACAGAGGAGGAAAGAAAAAAAAGGAGGGGCAAGATCCTGAACATCTAAACTGGACAAGTTTATGAATTACAGTTCCTGTTTGAAATGGATATGAGTGAGGAGGGTGACTGAGAGGAGTCAGAATCACAAACTAGGACAGAAAGGAAAGGGAAATCAGGAAAGAAGCGAGGAAGGAAGAAACAATGAAACACACCTTTGATTTAATGCGCCATCCTTTTCAGGATCCAAGAACCTTATCAGTCCCATATATGTTCACCTTTCTATGACCGACACAGATCATTGCCAAGAAGCACAAAGTGAGCAGCACTTATAGATGTAAGTTATCTGGACCCCGACCGAGCTTTGTTACAGAGCCAGCAACCTTCTATTCTGGCCTGGAACGAGGTGCTGGTTTGCTGTATTTATGGAACTATTAGAAAGGTTGAGGTGGAATTAACAATCTGTGGGTATTACGCCTGGGATTTAAGGATGCGCAGAAGCAGCAGGGTTGATGGTCTGCACTGGAAAATGGTAACCTTTATTGGTAGAGCATGATATAAACACAGCTGAACAGCTAAGTGAAGCAAGATGGAGGATCCCTTTAACCCTGACTGTGGGACGCTGCGGTAGGCAGTAAAGATGCATACGCTGCCGTCCTCTGTTTCCCTCAGTCCACCATTGTCTGCTTCTCCCCCTCCTCATATTTATAGAGACAAAAATAAGCAAACACTTTTAAACAAGCCGCAGTCAAACCAAGCATCATCTGAAACTAGACTCACGATGATTTATGTTATTGAGATCATTATGTCCGACAGGCCTTATGACGTGTCTGCTGTTTTAAAGTGACAGCACCTAAATGTTGTGCAGAGCAGACCACAACACAAGATCCATAAAACCACTCAACTGCTTTCAGGTCTGTTCAGAATTGAAAACCTGATGCAAAAGTCCACGCGGGGCCAAATCCTGTCCTATTATACTTCTTGTAGTGGTGGCAGAGTGAGATGGAGCAGGGAGGGTCAGGGAAAAGCAGCCAGGAATGTCTAGAGAAACGACTGACCGGGAAAGATCTGTTTTGTTTTTTCAAGTGTGTACACGTGTGTGTGTGTGTGTGCATGTCTGTTTTTGTGTGTGACTGTGAGCTCCACCCTCCCCGCCTCTGAGTGACTTTGGGACTGAAATGTGGTTCCAGTTAGGCCTTTTTTTAAAATCAGAAACATACTGGCACTTCAAACAAATATTTTTTCTAGCCAGCTCTGCTTTGTTCTCAATTTACTACAAAGCTCCATTCCTAGACTTTCACTCCCGCCCACAACCCCACACACCCAACCGAAAAAGAAATTACATCCCTTCTTTTCCTATGTGCATAGATATATTTATAGTCTTAAAAAAACATTCGACTTTGACTGAAGTTGACAGACATTTATGCATGTGAATAGGTGCAAAGTGTTTCAATGTGTTTTCAGCATGCATCGTAAAGGAATTGTGCTTATTAGTTCATTTCTGTGAACTAAACTTTTGCTGTCCTGAATCCAAATGATTAGTTTTTGCCTTCTAATTTTAGGTTCAGTTTTGCTGACATATTTACCCTGGGGGTCCACAATTCCAGTTTAACTGGACAGATACAGTTACCAAGTCCAAATAATATCCAAGTTGTGAGCTATTGTTTTGCACAATGCTAGAAAATAGTCTATGTAGTCATAACATCAAGAGCTTTGACCTATTGTTGCTGGATTTCATATGGCTTGTAATTCTTATCTTCATTCTTTGCTTATTTAGAAGCACACATTTTGTAATCCTAGTATAAACCTAGTCCTTTTTTTAATATGATGCTTGATTATATTCTTTCATCAGTACTAAGATCAGGTGTCTGCACTTTTAAATTGAGCATCTTACTTATCTGACCAGTTGTACCATGCAGGAAAAAGTCTGTGAATGGATGTGGTTTTAATATCCACAGTGTCCTTCAGCTTCATGCCATTGTTCTATTTTCTTCCTTTTGCTTTCTTCACACATAGAATAATCTTGTTTTAACTGTACTTTCCGCCGGGTTCCCTGATTTAAAAACGATGTGGCTGAAAAAACTGGGCCACACTTTTGCACATGTGTGCACGGACACTCATATAGAGCCTGGAGTTATATTTAGAAGAGAACATTTTCAAACAAGACCACAGCAAATGTCTCCAGAGATGACATCCAAGCCAGTAAAAGCCTTTCATGTGCCCAGTGCAATGATGCAGCGCCACTGTGCGCCTGTTCGAGTACAAATCACGTCTTTGGTCACTGTGTATACAGGCCACCATCTTCTGAGTATCTTTTCACATGATGCCAACCTGAGTGTCTTTCATTCTACATTGTTAAGAGGTTGTGCTGCACTGACATTAGTCAAAAGCGACTGTCCTACTTGGCCACTTCTCCTTAACGATCTGTCTTTGCCTGCTCTTCTTCTCAGATTAATAATTCTGGTCGTCTTTGCCCTTCATAGACACTCAACGGACATTCTTGAAATTTTACAGCCCTGGTTTTTTAAACTCCTCTGACACTGTGTCTTGGTGTATGACTTTTACTCCTTCTCTGTGTTTGTGATCAAACTGATAAGAGCTGCTTTAGTAACTAATTAGTTTATGAGAAAGGGCAGAGAAAAAATGTGAGGGGTTATAGGGGGTGGGGGTGCTGACAGACCAACGAGAAGAGCACGGCGTTTCAGGACAGAAAGAGACGAGTGATGTAATGTCTTCGGGACTTTTATCTCAATGAAACATACCCTTTGTGATGATAGGGGCTGATCTGCCAGGATGCAGACTGGCAGTGTGAGTCATTCACTGGGGATGGATCTTTTACCCCTTACACCTCCTCTCTTCATCTATAATTCACACAGTGAGGAATCGCGGCAGACCCAAGTGACCCTGTGATACTGCTGGCACTGCATGCAGAGAGACGGTGTGACGTAGAGCCGGGTGTTCGGTTCTGCACGGCTAACAACGGCTCACACATAAATAAATACACCGTGTGTGTCTGCGAGGCTGTAAAACCACTGAGAAAAGTTGATTGATAAATCTTCCTCCTTGACATCTCCCTCTCCCCCACATTTTTTCGTCTGTTCTTGGCTATCTCACTCGCAAATAAACAATACACATGCGTAAGAGCGCACATGCGCTCAGTCCTGCTGGGACATGCAGCTTGTGGCCAAGCTCAAGGGCACTGTGTGCTGCAGAGTGGTTGAACTCCAGTGGCCTCTCCCCCCTGTCCTGTGACTGGATAGAATACCAAACACTCTAATCATTTGGCTTGCAGAATATTAAACAGTGCCGTCTCCTGTGTGAGTGTGTGTGTGTGTCACAGTTTTAATATATTCCACGAGCCTA